GGGTGGAGAAAATGAGATTTAATCATGTGTATTCTAGTTTGTAACACACCAGCATATCACAGCCATACACAATAATCCATGACGTGTGTCCTATCGAGAAATAATGAAAGATTATAATCAAAAACCGTTGTACCATATTTCTATTCATTTCCATGCAAAAGTTTGCTGATTTTGTCAATTCTGTTATTAGTGATTATCATATTGATAGTTCCATTATTCAAAATGTGCAGGGATGCTTGAATCAAGAAATGAAACTGGATGGCTGGATTTTTTATATAATGAGTGCTAGAGAATGTGTAGTGTTGCAATTCGATAATGGAGTATTCATGAATCAAGGATTTATGGTCAATGAACAGAAAGTGTTAAAAGTGTTTGGAAATCATCAAATTGGAACTATTTCACATAATGAACAACAATACATTGGAGAAGGAATAGTAGACTTGGATCATGGAAGTCGATTTGAAGGATTGGTATTGACAGGAAAAGAAAAAGAAAAAGAAAAAGAAAAAGAAAAAGAAGGTAAAATTGGAATTCCATTTGGATATGGTGAAATGTATGATGATGATGGAATATTGGTGTACAAGGGCATAATGATCAATTGGAAACGATTTGGATATGGAACGAGTTATCATAATAATGGATGTATTGAGTATGAAGGATATTGGTGTGATGATAATCGATTTGGAATTGGAAAAGTGTATGATCGCAAAGAAAGACAAATAATAGAATGTGAATGGTATAATGGAATTGAATGTGATATTGAAGGAAATTATGCAGGAGATAAAAGCAAACCACTGAATATTGGAGTGAAACACTTGAAACTGATTGACAATTGTGTATTGGTTGATTGGGATGTTTCATTGTTGGATAATTTGGAATCAATCGAAATCGGCGATGAATGTTTTGTCTCAGTGCAAACATTCAAAATTGATGGATTGAATCGATTGAAAACTATCAAAATCGGAAGCAATTCATTTACTCAAGTAAATCAAACCAAGTGGGGTAAAATTAGTTATTCAGAAGCTGTCAAACGATGCAGCAATTTGAAATCATTTCACATATTGAATTGTGAATCATTGGAATCCATTCAAATTGGTGAATGTAGTTACGTTGATTTTGGAGGCGACCTTGAATTGAAGAATCTACCGCAATTACAATCCATTCAAATTGGTACAATTGGAAGTAGATCATGGAATTTCTGGTATAGTTCGTTTGTAATTCGAGGTATTGATATGATATTGAATATTTGAATGATGCATAGATCTTCCAAATCTACAATCCATTACATTAGGTGATTATGCATTTCAAGAATCCTTCTCAACAATAATTGAAAGTATTGAATGAATTCGAATGAAATGATTGATATAGATCTTCCATCATTACAATCCATTACACTCGGTGAATATGCACTTTATGGAAAAAGGGATGATGATTCACCTTCATTAACACTTCGAAGTAATAATGAATTGATTGGTTATGATTTGTTTTGTAGATCTTCCAAATCTAACATCAATAACTTCTGTACGATTTAGTTTTAATGAAACTCGTTCAGTGATATTGGAAAGTATTTCTGAATATTGAATATTGATAGTATTTAGATATTCCAAATCTTCAAAATGTCGAGCTACCTTATCCATTCCTGTTTGTTCGATGGGCATCAATTTCGAGTATAGTTTGATTGATTTGATTTGATTCATAGATGTTTCTTCCATTCTCGCTAATCTTGTCAATATCAAGCATTAAATCTATAATTTTGATTTGATTTGATTTGTTCAGTGATTCGTCATTGTTTAGGAACATTTCCATTGATTGTTTGAATGATTGATTGTTTGTTTCAAACCGATTCTTGATCACAATTCATGATTCTATAATTATCAAAATATCAATCCTGCCTGATTATTATGATGATCTTCTTTACCAATTGAACAATGATACTCAATTATGATTGTTGTTTCAATCAATCAATCAATCAATCAATCATTGTTTTCGATCATCATTATCATTATTATTATTATTACCAATGACCCAATGATCACATATTGAACATTTACAAATGATGAATCCAATCTACCAATAATAATAATAATAATAATAATAATATACAAATGATGGTTTGAATAGGTTTGAACTAGGATTTGTTCAATATTGATAGGAAACTGCTTGCTTCGAATAATCATAATCATAATAATCATAATGAATAATAATAAGATTGGATTTGATAGTGACACAATGGAATGGTTGGAATCGATTGATATTGGATGATTATTCACATTTGTGAATCCATTGTTAAATCGGTAGATAATACAATACAATACAATACAATACAATGATTGATATTGAATTTGGATATTGATATTGACTTATTGAATAGGAATAGATCACTGTATACGTAAAATAGAATAGAATCAAATAGAGGTGAAATGGATAAAACAAGGCAATGAAACTAGAATAGAATAGAATAGAATAGAATAGAATAGAATCCGATTGAATAGCATTGGAAATCATATTGGATTCACCATTCAATCAATCCAACTATCATTTCTTTGTTTGTTTGTTTGTTTGTTTATCAATGAGTCACAAAACATGGATTTATCAATTTGATAATAATGGAATCAAATCGGATGTGTTTGATACTTGATAGTTGTAGTTCGTAGTAATATCAGTCGTGGTTTCACAATTCGATATTTGGATGGAATGTCGTATTCTTCAATATCACACAAACCATTCACTCACTCATTTTGTGAATTGATTTGTTGATAATAGAAGAAGAATAGAAATGAAAAGAATTGAGTGTAATAGAAATGGGGTGTGAGTGAATGATGATAAGAATGTGATATTTAAATAGGCAATTGAATAATAGTAAAATGAGAACGGCCATATCTGATGGAAAGCGCCCTAACCCGTCCGATCTAGGAAGCTAAGTCATCACGAGTCGAGTTAGTACCAGTGTGGGTGACTCGCTGAGAAGTCTCGATGCTGTTCTTTTACTATTCTCTTTTTATTCTAACACTATTCTCTTTTTCCCTCTTCATCAATGCTTCCTGCTACACTTCATCATCAATCCCTATTCACTCCCCTTCCTTTCATTCAACAAACACTTCAATCCGTTTCAAATTTTACTATATACACACTTCCCTTTTCTTCAAATACCGCGCAGCAAGGCAAATCTCCGTAAAACCCCGTCAAATCGAATACTGCCGTCGCGATTGCTCCCTTTCGATTGATCACATCGTTCCTCCAGAAATCCGGCATGGGTACGAAGCAAACACAGTCGTTCTAGTTTAAAAAATACTCATCGAATTCTACCACGTTGTATCGATAGGAATGCACCACCAATGGGTTTCGCCCCTGCAAATTACAAAAGCAGCCGGCGTAACACTGCAATGTTTTCTATGCTTGATCCTTCCCGCGGGAATCACCTGTGTGTACGATTTCACCATCATTTTATCCGCCAGATCGAAAACCGCGGTTTCGGACGATTTCGCGATAGCGGCAACGAGTTCTTTTCCGTCGTGCCGAAAAACCGCCAAATTCTACCAATCAAATCGATCATCCAATCATTCGATGATGTCCGTTAAATGGGTGGAGATGGTTTCCTCGGTTCCACGATTCACATCCAGAACGATGATGGTCCCGCGGGTCGTGGATACCACTATACTGCATGATGCATGATTATCAAGAATCACTATTCGCTGGTCACGGTACTGCAGCAAATCTCCCCGGGGACCGACTGCGTGGAGAGAATCTTCCACATTTCCCCATTGGAACCGATGTACGTAATTGTGCCCTTTTTATCGATGGTAACAAAGTCGCAATCGTAGTTGCAGAAAGGGTGAATGCCGATGATCTCGGTGCTGCAGTGAAGTATGGTGGATTTTCGTCCGGAAAGAAGAGAAAGCGAGGATAAGCAATAACCGGTATCTTCCTTGGTGAATGTGATGATGTGCATGTTCTAGCGTGTTACGAAAACGATTTATTGGATACAAGCAAGCAAATGCAAAGTACTGGAGTCGGGTTTGTCATCATTGCAATTACCTTTAGTGTGTTATCGAACAACTACCAGTCAATCCACTACCATACGCAAAAACAAGAATTTCATTATTATCAAAATACGCACAAGCCAAATTTTTCTCATAATTCACACTCAAACCTCGACAATTGCCATTCGAAAGAGTCATACTTTCATATTTTATAAAACTTATAGGAGTACGGTTAGCAATTTGTTTTGTTTGGTATTTATCAATCTTATATCTACTTAGTGGCATCCACTCTCTATTCAGCTTACTTTTTATAGGAACCTCCTCCATTATGCGGTGAACAAAAAGAATGTTGGTTTATCATCATATTACCGTTACGGTTGTGATTCCACTGCGGATAATCGACCTACAAATAAAATCATCTTATAATATGTGAACTAAGTATGTTCGTCGATCCATTTCGATTCCTCTCTATATGATACAAACTTTTTGTAATTTTTGCACGATGGATTTATCAGTCTGTGTAACCATCCGGGATGATGATGAAACTGTGTTTGAAAAGGAAATCTCAGCTCAGCAAATGCGAGATTCGAATTACCAACAAGAACAACTAAATACGGATAATGAACCTCTGCCCAAGTTAAAGGAAGGGGAATTGTTTTATCTTGCTGCAGCTGTTAATGTGGAAACTGAGATGTGTGAATTATTGTGTAGAAAATGAAAGCTGAGGTAAATGATTATATGTCGCAACGATTAGCAAGTGAGTCTACGGATAATCACGAGAAGAGTAGTAAAAAGGTGAAAATCGATGAGGATTCAAATTAAATTAACAATTTTTATACACATTGGTTTGTTGAACACTTGATATCGATGAAACAGGTAGATCCACTATCTAAACGTTTCTCTGTGAATATCCATCACTCTTTAGTTTTCGCTACACAGGAATCGTAAAAAGACCTCACTCTTGACAAGCACTACCGCGGAATTTGGGACTTTTTTGGGATACTTTCACTTTTTCCCAAAATGAACCGAAGAAGCTCCGGATACGATCGTAATATCACTGTGTTCTCTCCTGAAGGGAGACTCTATCAGATTGAGTATGCGTTTAATGCCGTCAAATCGTTTGGGCAGTTGATTGTGGGAATGAAGGGAAAGAACATTTCTGTTGCAATTTCACAAAAGAAGGTCACCGATAATTCCATTGATATATCAAGCGTCACAAGTATCTATAGAATTACTGATCACATTGGCTGTGTGATGACAGGTCTTCAGGCGGATTGCATGACATTGGTGGATCGTGCTAGAGAGAAGGCAGTGAACTATAAAGCGAAGTATGGATATGAGATCCCAATTAGCGTTTTGGCAAGACGCGTGGCAGACAAATGTCAGCTCTATACACAGAGAGCCGAAATGCGTGTTATGGGAAGTATCATGGTACTTTTTGGGTAGTGAAGTTTTGTACAGTTCATTCTGTAGAGTGGATGATGAAGACGGTCCTGAGATATATAGAATTGATCCTGCTGGAAACTGTTGGAGTTATAAGGTAGGGATGTCGGTTTGTTGAATCTGAGTAAATAGGGCGTCGCTGCAGGTCCGAAATCACAGGAAGCGATAAATTATCTGGAGAAGAAGATTGGAAAGGAGCCGCTGATGGAGGATAATGATGAAGTGATCAAAACGGCGCTGCAAGTATTTCAGAATGTTTTGTCGACGGACGTCGCGCCTAAAGACATTGAAGTGGGAATTGTTCCGAAGGGTGGAGTGTACACGATTCTGACGAACGAGGCTGTGGATAACTACCTTACGGCAATTAACGAAAGAGATTGAGGTGTTTGCTGTGTTTGTTGCATGAAATGTGTAATATAGAAGGAGGATTGTTCGATTGTTCTACTTGTTTTTTGGAAAGGAATTGGAGAATATGCAGAGGCTTGTGTTCGCTCTGGGAAGACAGGCTCGAGTCTGTGCAAGTCTAGGAAGGGTTTACACTCCTCGATTGGCCACGCCGGCTTGTTTATTCAGTACGTGTGCTGAGAAAGATTCCCAGTGTGGGAAAGCTTGTGGCCAGATGTGTGGAAGCTGTCACAGTAGAGTCGTGTGGAATTAGTGTAAGTTGCAGAGAAAACGATGTGCTGGAATTGCCACCATTTTACGGATTGCCAGTCACGTTTTTGCCCCACTTGCCATAAGATTCAACCTGTTTACTCGGAAGAAGAGGGAGGTGGTAACTATTTCCAATTGTTCGGACTGTGGGGTTTCGTTTGGGAGAGAATAAACGGTAGGCATGAGACCTACGACATTAATCCAGCCGAGTTGGAAGCAAACTTTAAGAATCTCCAGAAAGTGGTCCATCCAGACCTATTTTCCACCAAATCTCCTGTATTTCGTCTACATGGGGTTGCATGATCGTTAGGAGGAGAAAAAGGTATCGGAGAAGGTGTCTACGACGCTGAACATCGCTCACAACAAATTGAAAGACCCTGTGACGCGCGCTGCATATCTAGCAGGTTAATGTGTGCGTAGTGACGAGTAGGTGAAGCTCCGAACTGGAAAAGATGTTTTAGGGGAGGATAAGAACTATAAGGTGCCCGTGGAGCTGCTAATGGAGGTGATGGAGCTGAGGTCGGTGTAATGAGATGGATTGAGCCGCAGAGAGCGCGTGAGCGAAGCGAAGAGTTCGAAGGAGGAAAAGGCGAAGGACTCTGTGCGGAAGGAAGCAGTGGCGTGTTTCAAAAAACATGAGAATGAGTTTCGTTGCAGTTTGTGTCAAAGTACAAAAGTAAAAACCCGATCGAAAGTAGACAAAGCGGAGAAGCTCTGTGACGAGGCCGTGGCGCTGAAGTACTACGACAGCGTGCTGCGTGAGATCGATGGGGATGCGTGTGTTTGTTTGTTTGGAAACACGAGGAAGAGCAGGAAGAAGAGAGCGGAGCTTTGAATGAGAGGAAATGAAAACAGAAACAGAGAAAGAATCGGAGCGAAGTAGATGAGGGAGAGGGAAACCGGGTTGTAGAGACGATGGGAAGTGTTTTGAAGGCTCCATCCCAGTGAAGAGGAAGCAGAGAGAGTGGAAGAATTTGAAGAACTTGAAGAACTTGAAGAATTGGAAGAACTTGAAGAATTGTTTGAATTGGAAGGTTTGGAAGAACCCAAAGTACTAGAAGAACTCGTTGTATAATAAGAACTCGAGGAATTCCCAAGTTTTTCAAGTTTGGAGGGAAAATTGGTTGACTTCAAATTTGCGTTTTTTGATTTTGACTGCGCTGGTGAGTACTGGGACTGGGAGGAAGGCAGAACGGGCGGTGTTGGCTCTGCGATGGATTCGAAGAGACGGTGGAAGTCGCCGCTTTCCCATTTCATAAAACACGCAAATTGGTCAGAAACCAGCGAAAAGGATCGAGGATTGGACTGAAGAGGAGACGGAAGCTCGATCGAATCGAGAGGCGAGAGAAGACTCCATTGGAACGATTCGGAACCCCATCGAAGAAGAAGATTCGAACAGGCACGAAAGCCCACGTTCTATGGTGAAAACGAAGCGCGAAATGAATACGGTGATTCTGAAAACAAGTGCATTGTCGTGTCTGTTTCGATTTTCATTTTCGTGTTTTTCGTCTTCTCTCAAATTCATTTTCGATTTTGGTTTCTCATATCGTTGATTCTGATTATTCTCGATAACAAGATCACAGCCTGAAAGTTTCAACGCGTTCCACAAAAGCAAGTTTGCTTCTTGAACGTGGTCTTGGCGAGGCGGCCAAAACGATAAATACTCGTTTTTGGGCGGATAATCGGGCGGCAACTCCACATTGAACGATAGAATGGAGTGAGCATGGAACAAATAATCCGCTGCGTCACCGTTCACCGAGTACAAACCCGGGATTTCCCACGCCTGTCCTGTGGTGTATTTGTGTGGAATGTTCGAAAGAATCGATCGAGTGCCGTGTTTGAACAAGTGAAGCATTGTGGAATTGAGCGTGGAAGCGAGGGATTGGCACGAGAAGGGATGAAGGACAGACCGTCCGAACGCGTGGAGAGACAGAGCCAACGTGGGCGGGAAGGGAAGAAGGCGAAGAAAGGCGGGGATGGCCTGGGTTTCGGGCTCTGAAAGGGGCTTCGGTCCCTGTGTTTCAATGGGATGTTGTTGGTACTCGGTAGATTTCGCTGCAGACGTCCGGACTGCTGCCCTCCTTGTCAATCGCAAAGCAGACGGGGAAGTTCCGGTTTAGATCGACGCCGTTATCCATATAAAGACTGCAGATAAGACACACAATGATACAGAGAACATGGATTTGGAGCAAACCGGATGCTGGTTCTTTCGCCTCATCCCATAGCGTTGAGTCTTCTCGAACTGCAGGACGTTCCGATCGTATGTGTCTGGATTCAGAGAGGGAATCACCCACACCATAGAATGCGATAGAACCACTTCCACGTGATGCTCTTGTGCTTGTAGCTTGGTGAACAGGAGAGATACGAAATCGAGAGGAGCGACCACGCTGCTTCCCTCTCTTCCATGAATCCCACCAAACACAAAAAACTAAACATCATACCGAATAGACAGATAAACGATCGATGAACCCGACTCACAATTTCCAAAGCAAAAAGCATCAATGCTTCGATTTTGCATACTCTTTCCCACATGCAACTCTTTCGAAGAGATATTGGGTATATGTAGATTGTTATAGGAAACGACGTAGGACCGCATTGTTTGTGTCAGCTCCTCAAAGGAAGGATACTTGCATTCCCCAAATTCCAAAATGACACAGAAAAGGAAAAGACAGAGAAAACGCATCAACTTTAATCACTGATAGATAGAACAAGCTTTCTTTCCAATTCTCAAGTATTTTCCAAATTCGAAAAAAACTATAAAGTTCAGAAATGTCTTCCGATATCGGTATTTATGGACTCACGAGTCAGGGTATTTCGTTCGCCCTGAATATTGCATCAAAAGGATACAATGTCACCGTGGGAAACAAATCCTCCGACAAGGTACTATCCTATCAAATATAAGTTGATTTGTTTGTAGATTAAGGAGTGTATTGAATTGGCAGAGAAAGAGGATCTGGAAGAGAAGGTTCGCGGAATCAAGGATGTACGTGGCTTTGTGAGGATCGTTGTTTATCCATAGCCCGAGGACTTTGTAAAAAACCTAAAAACGCCTCGCAAAGTCTTGTTCCTCGCTCGCCCAGGTTCTAACATAGATCGCAACATGCAAAAGGTTCTTCCCTTCCTTGAGGTACTTCTTTCGAGCTCCTCTCAACGTCCAGTCCGGCGACGTTATCATCGACGGCAGCTGCGACAATGTGGACGAATGCCTGCGCCGCAGCGCGGAAGCGCAAGAAAAGGGCGTCGAGCTGCTCTCTCTGGCCATCCTCGGCACGGACAGCGACGCTCGCCAAGGCCCTGCCTTGCTGTGCTCTGGCTCGAAGTCGCTTTACGACGCCATCGAGCCTCTGCTCAACAAAGTGGCCTGCGAAGTCGACCACCGACCCTGCCTCGCCCACGTCGGCACCGCCGCCGCTGCCGTGGCCGCCAAGCACGCCGTGGCCGCTCTGGAGACCGCGGAGCTGCAGCTTTTAGCGGAGATGGTGGACGTGATGAAGCAGGGCAAGCTGAACTTGACCGAAATCGCCTCGATTTTGGGAGACTGGGACAAACAGGACGGCAGTTTCCTTCTGCAGAGCCTCACCGCGGTTCTGAAGAAGAAGGACTGCGACGTGGAGGGCTGCAAGCCGTCCGACAATTCATTGGTCGACCGCATCAGCGATTTCCCGCCCAACCCCAAAAATACCGCGGATCTGACGGCTCTTGCCGCGGATATTCAGGCCAGCATGAGCATTCCCGCGGGAGCGTGGGAGGCGCGCAACGCGTCATCGGAGAGGGAGGTCCGCGTGAAACGTATCCATGGATGAAACGCCCGATGTGTAGTTTCCCGCCAAATTTCGGCGCCGAAATTTGATTGGTCGAAGGTGGATCTGCAGGAGATTTCCCGCGATTTGCACGACGCCCACGACTGCGCACGAGATATTCTGTGCGCACAAGTTTTCGGTGCGCTGGTCGCCGTCGCGAAGACGCGCGAGTGGGAGTTTCATTTGCCCGAGTTGGCGGGAGTTTTGCGCGGGGGCTGCGAGATTCGGTGCGATCGGATGGAGAAGTGGGTGTTTTTTTGGCAGGAGTGATGGGCAGACTGTCGGCAATGCTGGAGAAGAGCTCGGAATTGCCGAGTTTGCTGCTGGAGCCGGCGTTCAGCGAGGAGGTCGAGAAAAAACAGAAGGCGTGGAGACGCGTGCTGTCGCTCGGCGTGGCGGCGGGCGTGGCGATGCCGGTGAGTCTGGCGGCAGTGGCGTATCTGGACAGTTATCGCAGCGGGAGATTGCCGGGAAGCGTGGTGCAGAGCATGCGCGATGCGCTGGAGGATGAGGGGTTCGAGAGATTGGATAAGGAGAGAGGAGAGCTGTTCCACTGCAAGTGGTCGAAGTAAAGAGAGGAGGAAGAAAGGAAGGAAGGAAGGAAGGAAGGAAAAAGGAGGAATTAGAGGATTTTTGCTGATGGGTTGTTTGTTGGAAAATGCGTTGAGTAGTCGAGAGTAGAGTTCATTTTGAAACGGTTCTACCAATAGTAGCCCACAATACTTTTAATACTCTACTATTTTCAAACCCATAATGATAAAAATGAAGAGTCGATGGAGCTTTATATAGCGCGGAATCGCTATTTCAATTGTGTACGTTGAGCCGAGAGAAGGTTAGCATCTCCCTCGATAAGGACGAGAAAAGGGATTTTCCCTTCCATTTACTTGAGGTTAAAGTCGTGTTCTTCGGAACATAAGCCATTTTTTTGGCTCTTTGAGTTTTTGATATATATATGGTGGAAATGCTCAGAGAAGTGTAGTTGAATGAGCTTGCTATACACATGTTGCTTTTCAATTTGTGTACTCCTTTGACATTTTCATCATCATCATCATTTTTGCATTTTTTCATACGTTTTATCACTTTTCAGTTCACCACAACGATTACCCCACAATTCCCTCTCCTTATTCAAACAAACACGCAAAAACTGCATAGGCTGCCTCTGATTACCCCCGGAAACACCATCTTCAAAATGATGGATTTCCTCATCTAAACTAATCCAACTCTGGTTAAATAATGGTCCAGAAATGACTCTCTTGGCCATATCCAACTTGGGCTCCTTGTGCATCGGGTTATTACACAAATCAATCGTTTTCGCCTTTTCCTTCGTTTCCATGCTACACCAACTTTCACACCAAAGCCATTCCTGTGGTAACGAATAGATCGGCACCTGTTCTTGAATGAAGTTCGGCAAATCTTGGTCCAGATTCGACAACGAGTTCGGATCGGGTGCCAACTGATTGTACACACGCCTCAGAATATCGCCCACGCCTCGTTTTCGGAGCAACTACACATCATCCCACTTCATCACCATCCACCTCGAGATCCACCTTATACAAAGCGCTGATGTGATACGGCTTTCCTTGCAGATGTTCCTTCCAGAATCCCTGGGTCCAGAACTACGCTTCACTTTTCCCTCCTTCTGCTTCTACCATAAATCCTTTTGTTTCTTGATTGGATGTGCAGAGCGGCGTGTAGGCGTAGACGCAGTCGTGAATATCCATATCCCACAGCTCCGAGAGGTCGACACGACTTACTTGGTCCGCATCCACGTAAATAATCTGGATTGAAAATTCCAAAAATAGGGACTTTTTTGACGCGAAGAGGGAAAAGCGTGTCGAGGAAAAGGATTTTGTAGGCCCAAATAATGCGCTGCTTCTCGGTTTGGGGATATACCCAGCGTGGCCATTTGTAGGAAACGTAAGAAACCTTATATCCAAAATGGCGGCAAAGCTCGGGAACAATATCCTGTGTGTGAAACACGAAAAGAAAAAATGCTTTGAATTGGGGAGAAAGGAAGTTTTCGATGAGCCAAAAGTGGAGTTTTTTGGAAGAACTTCGACTGACGGAAAGCATCATGATTTTTAAGAAACGTTCGTAGAGATGTCCAGAAGCAAGCGAAAACACGTTAATTCTATGGAAAAAAAAACAAACGAAGAGAGTTTTACTCTTCATCATCATCATCATCATCATCATCATCATTGGCTTCGGCTTCGGAATCGATGACTTTATTCAATTCATTCATTTCATTGTGGGATGCAAAGGAAAACAATTTCGATTTGAGATTCTTGAAGAGTTTTTTCGCTGCGTCTCCCGCGTGTTCGCTATTTTCATTCCTTGTTTGTTCATTCATTGAATCTTTCGAGTCTACTGAGTCTATTGTATCTACTGTATCTGCAGAACCCCTGGAAGGCTTCGCTGCATGTGATCGGGTTTCGATCGGCGATTGGCTGCGATCGACCTCCAAGGACACGATTTCGTCCAGATTCGAATAGATCCGCATCTACCACTCATTGTGTTTCTTTGTGTTCCTACCGGAACCGACTCAATCGCGCGTCCCTCGGCGTCCAGCAGCTTCACGTTCGGGTTTTCTTCGCTCACCGCGATCTCGAACAATCCCGTGTTTCCCCGCAACTGCCAATAACCGCGGTCATTCATCACGACCGTATCACTCTCCATCGCACCATCTCCGAAATGGCTCATTTTCAGCATGACCCTGGAAGCCGGTTCGTGCGTTTCACGGTCGAAACACGATCCCTCAATGATCAACGCGTCCACGAAATATTGTGCCAAAATGTATGTCGTATCGTCCAAAACCCGCAAGTTATCCAGGTCACACTCCGCGTAGTACGCGATTGTGTTCCACTTGAAGGGCGTTTCGATCGACATGGTGTACAAATAGTGCGAAGGCAGGTTGAACCACGTCGCCTGCTCCCCGTCGCTCCCCACGAACCGGTAGAACCGCTTCAACGGCAGCTCCGAATAATCGCGGGACGGCACCAGAAGCAATTGGTACGAAATCGGGACGATCTTGCGGAATTCTAAAAGAACGCCGAGAATTCGCTGCGCGTCCACCGACAGCGGGTCCATAACCGCGGTTATGTCCAGAAATGACGCGTCGGCAGTGTGCGACACCACGAACGGCGAATTGGCGGGAAACGAAGGCGCCACGTCCCCGAAATCCCCGAAATAACCGCGGATCAGCGACATCAGCCGCGAAACCGGCTGCGCGAACCGGCCGTGTAACGCCCGGACGAAACGCCCCTCCAGACGGACGAGGGACCGGAGAAATGAATCGTGGAAACGGAGGCGTTCGAGGATGCGTCCGTTCAGTACGAGGGTGGTTTTGGAGGCGGAGAACCCGCAGGGAATCGCGGCGTGCGCGGTCTTCCAGGCGTCTCCGAGGCGGCTGCGCTCGTCCTCCTCGAGGTAAATCGCCAGACAGGCCTCCACGGCTTCCGGCGAGGGCGAATCTGCGCACCGCAGCGCGTCGTTCAGCGCTTCGAGTAAGTTCTGCGCCGCTGCGCGCTGGGTGAGATGGAGAAGAGGGAGAAGAGAAGGGGAAGAAGCCGCGAAAAACACGGAATAACCGCGGAAAATGGGGAGTTGGGGGAGGAGAGAGCGGAGAGAGGAGAGAGAAGGGAGGACGAAGCAGGCGTCGCCGAGGTCTCCCGCGGTGATCTGGAGGAAGGAGGGGAGAGAAGGGAGGTCGTCGGAGAGGAAGCGCTGCGCGGCGAAGGGCTGGAGAAGCTCGGGGTCGAAGAGGTCGATGACGGTGCTGTGGGCGTAGAGGAAGTCGAGGAGAGCCGAAAGAGAAGTGAGCTCGCCGGCCTCGATGCCGCGCATGATGTGATGGATGTCCGAAAACGAGGATTGGAGGAGGGAGTTCACCGAGAACTCGCTGCTTAACTTCCCGTTGAGGACGTTGAGGCCTTCGCGCAGACCCGAATTCTGCACGAATTGGGCCATCTGGGACACTTCCGTCAAATAGGCCCCTTTCTCCAAGATGGAAGCCACGTCCAATTCGTTGCTGATTTCCTGGATCACATCCATCACCGCGCCCGTTTTCCACGTTTCTTTCTGCAGCAGCGACAGCAGAACCATCGGAATGGCGGTTTTCGGGCCTTTTTTGTACAGCGCGAGGAGCAAACCGACGAGTTGCACGGGGTGGATGGGCTGGTCTTCCCGCAGAGGAATGCTCGCAGGCGCGTCGTCCTCGAAAAAAGCGCGGATTTCGGGCGAGTCGAATAGAATTCCAAGACGAATAGGGACGCCCTGGTGCAGAATTTGGAGCATAACTCTGTAAAAGTCCCCGTTTTGCGCCATGGGGTCGAGAATCATCACGAAGTTGAGATAGTTGGCTCGCACCATGGGCAATTGAAAGGCTCCCATGAAGAACCGATTCAAGCTGCGCGAGTAGCGCGCGTACATCGCGTCCTTCTCCAAATCGTTGATGTACAGCACCTGCTCGCTCTCCAAAAAGCGGCGAGAGAGCCGGACCTCCTCCGACCCGTCCGCGATGAATTCATTCGCCATGCGTCGCAGCTCGTCCGCGTCGCTCCGCGATAAATTCAGCCGCTTCAGCTCTTTCTTCATTCGGAACGAGGCGCGAATGTCCTCCAAGAACTGAAACACATTCAGATTGTCGCGAAGATTCGAAACCAGCTTCCCGTTCATTATCATAAAACCACTTTTCGCGTCGAATTCCGTCGAAATCTGCGACCACGCCGCCTCCAAATCCTCCGAAACCGGCACGTGCGCGATCGACGCGGCCACCGCGGGGAACTGCATCACGCTCTCCCCCAGAATCCGCAGCGGATCCTGCGAATGCACCACGCGCTGCACCAGCTTCAGTCCCAAATCTTTCATTTGAATGGGGGCAATTGTCTCCGCAGGCTCCGATTGGCTGCGCTGCAGACTCGCTCGGAAGCTATCCAGCTTCGAAGCCAGCTCCGGGTACCGCGTCTGCAACGTGGAAAAGTAGAAACCTTCGATGTCAACCAGCGGCTCCGCCCAAATCTGGTCGTTTTCGGTCAAAACGGCGCCGTGGCTGCTGCGGTCATCGATCACTTTGTACTCCGTGTTCTTGATATCCAGCGCGACTCCGTACCCCCCAACCCGGGAGTTACTTCGTGGAAACGTGGAAACACTGTGGAAGGGGCGAAGAAGGAGGAGAGAATTAGAGAAAGAGGATTGGCGGGCGCGAAGAAAGGAGAACCAGGGAAGGAGATCGGGTTGAAACGTGGAAACGAGGATCATGGGTTCGATGGAATTCGATGGGGTGGAAGAAGGGTCGGATTCGATGGAATTCGATGGGGAGATCACGTGATCGACGTCGATGGGGCGAAGAATCTCGCGGATCTGCGAAGCGGAGAGATTGAATGAGGAGGGGTAGGGAGAAAGGGAGAGAGAATCGAGGAGAGAGCACTGATAACCGGAAGGACTCAGAAGGAATGTTTCGGAGGAAGGACAGAGGGAGATGAAGGGGGATGCGAGATCTTGGAACATCTGGATCTTTGGAAGGTACTCTCTGCGAATTCAGCGGATTTGTGTTGGATTTACCGAGTGCTGAGCGAGAGCTGAAGCAATTGACACTCGTCCGGCTCGAAGTGGGAAGAACAAAACTGCAGAATCCACGCTTTCTTTTCCTCGTAAGAAGCGTCCAGTTTCACTTCTTGACTCGCTTTTGTTACATACACCAGATAGCTTTCACTCGAGAGGGCCGAAAAATACTCTCTAACCCTAACGATGCAGTGAAATTCAGTACCCAGCCTCGAAAATGGGAGATTGCGAGGAAGTCGTCCAGGGAGCGAAGAGAGATGCATCTACGCGCGAAGAAGAAGCGAGCGTAAATAGCAAGGAAAATAGCAACATCAAATAAAAAATCATTATTGTTTTCGGAATGGTCTTGGCGTTTATAGTTTCCATTGTTGTCTTCATAGGTCTCATCGTTTGGAATACCAGTAGGTCCTATGCCGTGTTTTTAACAAACAGTCCCTAATGAAAACAGGAATGGAATAACGCCATATTATATAATCAGATGGTCCGCACCCAAAGCTGAGGCGATGAACATTAGGTCTAAATCAGTTTCAGGTTCTTCATTGTCCAATGGTTCTTTTCCAAGTATTCACACACAAAGTGTTGATATCCGAACTAATCTTCTTACTGAACAACAGAGCCTCTACACCCCATCAACGGAAACTGTGTTTTCTTCGATTGTGAATGCCACTGCTCAACCTACTATGGCTGTCAAGTCGTTTTTTACCCCTAGCATGTCTTCAGTAAAAGAAGACACTCCATCTTCTGTTCCGTTTACTGACTTGGCTGAAAAAGACAAAATTAAAAAAATAAAAGAGATAGAAGAAGAAAACGCAACTTCAAAATCCTCTCTAGACGGTGCACCATCGGACATTCCGTTAGCTGAGGAAGACGCAGAAGCAGAAGCGCAAGCGGAAGCAGAAGCGCAAGAAGAAGAAGAAGAAGAAGAAGAAGAGCAGAGTCCGACCGAGGTTTCCCCATCTGCCTCGACTCCGTTCCTCTCGAACCACTCCTTCATCTACCGCCCTCCTACCGACTACCAAACGCGTCTCCAGCGCTACGTCGCCGCCCACCCCTCCAACCGCTACAACTACCTCACGAACACGCCCGTCCTCCTCGACAACCTGCTCCGCCGCCGCAATTCCTCACTTTTCTTCCGCCAGAACGGCACGCTCGCCTCCGTCCTCTCCCAATTCGGCGCCTCGCTCTACCACCGCTGCGCCAAGCACGCCGTCGAGTACTCCTTCTGCCAGTACCACTGGCTCGTCGCCTGGGACTCCGACTCCCGCCAGTTCTACCCCTTCCGCGAGCAAAAACGTCCCGATTTTTGGACTCCTCAAATCCAGCGCTTCCCGATTCGGCGGAGCCGGACTTCACGTATGTGACGCACACGACGTACCCGCGGGGAGGAGCGGTGAGGCGTAGGGTGGACCGTCTGCGGTACTTCAAGGTGCTGAGGGAGCTGTGGAAGGGACCGTTCTCCATCGCGATTTTTCTGCGGAGGTGGGACGTGAACACGGTCGACCGGTGGGTTCGATCGAATTCGGACGTGCCGCACCTGCGTCTGCTGTTCTACGTGGTGCCGTCGAACCTGCACTTCCCGAAAACGGACTACTCGCTGTGGTTCGATCGAAGTTCCATGCGGAAGATCACGGAGGGCGCGTTTCTCTATCCAATCAATTTGCTCCGCGACATCGCCATCATGAACGTCGTCACCACGCATTACATCAATCTCGACATGGATCTCTGGCCCTCCTGTACTCCAGAAATCCCCCTTTTTTTTTACTATCATAGACTCCACCTATCAGAATCTGCATCGAATCCCGCGGGAACTGCTGGATCCGTGGAAAAACGTGTTCATTCTGCCGGCGTTTCAGCTCACGGAGCGGTTCCGCAACCGGATTCTGCAGAGTGGAAACCCGGTAGGCGCGTACAGTGGTCGATGATGATCAAGAACATCGGGATGAAGTACGTGTGTCACACGAAGGAGGAATTGCGGCGGTGCATCAATCAACATCGTTGCACCTACGCGAACCCCAACCAAAATCGGCACGTTTTCTGCCATTCCCGAATTCGATGTAGAACTGCGTGAGCAAGTATTGGTACGGAATGACGCAGCCGGTGGTGGTGAAGATCCCGTGCTTGAACTTCACGCACATGGAGCCGTACTTGGTGCTGCGTCGCGACCTTCGGACGCCGCTGTATCATCCGTTCTACGTGAATTACGGGTTTAATAAAGTGTCGTTTGTGGAGAACTTGCGGTTTGAAAGTGGGGAAACGGGGAAGAAGGGAGGTGACGCGTAGATTATCAGTTCCATCTGATCGTGACGGACTTCGGGTTCGATTATCCGCATCCGATGTAGGGAGTGGGGGGAGCGATGAAGCGAAGGTCGGCGTTCGTGCACTCGTTTGCGCGGGATTTGAGGCACAGGCGGAGTGCGAAGATTACGCTGAACAAGAATGTGATGGGGTATTTCGCGGATCCCGAGCACTTGTCCTTTAAAACGTGTTCGAAACGATATTGGGCGTGTTTGTTGAATAAAAGGAGGAAGGAAGGGCGATTTGAAATTGGGAATAATTATTGGAATAATAAAAGGAGGAGGAAGAGAAGGCAGAGACAGTGGTGGATTTGAAGACTACGAGATTGTGAAGAGAAGGATGCATAGATCATAGGGAGCAAAGGTAGATAGAGATTGATACAAATCGATGGGTAAATCAAATCAATTCAAATCAATTCATTTCAATTCATTTCAATTCATTCATTCATTCATTCATTCATTCATTCAAAGTCGCTTCACTACCTCCTCTTGTTTTAAAACAAACAAGTCATTCTACATTTGTTTCATTTGCTTGCATCGTTTCAATTAGCCCATCGATATCAAACACTCTTCTTCGAGCCTTTCCAGACACCATCTTTGCCTTTCTTTCTACACAAATCAATTCGTAGCAACGATTCTTCCTACTATTACCACTACTCGTACTAGTTCCATTCGACTTCGTTCCTCTCTTTTCTCTCTCTGGATTCCCCTCAAACACCAAAATGCGACTGCAATACGGACACTCTCCATTATAAACGTGTAGCATCTCATTCACCGAGCAGCGCCATTTATGATCCCGCTTTGAATGGTCTGTTTCTCCTTCTGGACAGCGCCAATACAGCGCCTTTCGACTGTGAATGGAGAATTGGGAAGGATTCAAATCTACTGTTTCATGATTCACTCAAATTACCTCCGTTTTTGGTCATATCAAGAAAGGGAAGCAACTGCTGGCAGCGAGCCAGACTGGTTTCTTCGCTCACCTTTCTTCCTAAACAAATCGGACAACCCGTATTGTGCGTGCTTCCTCGATTGTAAACCGTGCTTTGGTAATGATGGCCATTCTCACACACCCACCAAACACGTTTTGAACTACTCTTTGTAACCATAAACGGAGTCAATTCTCCGTTCAGCGCGTAGTCCCATTCTTTTGCTAAATCAGGTCTGCAAATCGCCAAGCTTTGAGAATGAAGATCCACTCGCTGGCAGAATGGGCACTTCCCCTCATTTGGAGAACGTGGAAACACACGGTGAGACACTACGCGTCTCCATTCATGATCCTCTCCATTCGAACACTTCCACCAAGCGTTGAAGCTCGAATTGGGAAGGATTTTAGAGGGTTGCACATCTCCATTCTTTGTCGGATGCCACTGCGATGCGATATCGGGGTATAGAGTCGCCAACGAGTTTGTCACCGAAACCATGCGGTTCCCACAAAATGGACAACCCAGTATCTTGTGAGTGGACATATCATACAGTTTCCGGGGAGAGGAAAGCCATTCGTGATCAGGACCTTTTGAACACTTCCACCAGATTTTTTTCACCGACCGAACTGACACATCCGAAGGGCGCAAATCTCCATTCTTTGTCGGATGCCAAAACTTGGTCAACTCTGGACATATTACTTCAATATTGTAACGGTCAAGGTCTCTTGATTTTCCAATATTTATCTGGGAAGAAGAAGCAACATAGGCACGTAGCATGAAACTAATACCAGTTTGAAACGCTAAACTCTGCCTTTCAAGTGCTGCTACATTCCTTATCCTAAGAAATGCATACATTTCCTATTCCAATTTGAAAAGCAGTAGATTACTCAACAATTACTTGGTTTGACTATAAGCACACTATTTCGCCACCACTTCCTATAAGAATTAATTTCAGACCCTTTTTATTCCAACGCCAAACGATCTTTATTGGTAACAACAATCGACTCGAGTTTTCCTTGTGATGATTTTACACACAAACAAACCTATTCTAAAAACTAGTTTATTCAAAAATGAGATCACTTGTTTGGACAACTCTGAAATGGTTACTTTTCTATCACATTGACATAAGATACACTGTGGTGTATTCATTTGATTCATTTAAGTAGCAACAATCGGATGCTGACAATTCTCGGAATTATATGATTCATATATTTGTGAGTCCTGAAGTAAATCAAGATTTTGCACTATTTTCTCATAGTGAAGTGAAATACTCAACACAACAAGAAATACCATAAAAACTGTATCTGAAAGCAAAACCAACGTTATACATCTATCGCAGACCGCATCAAATTCATTACAAATGCTAACAACACAGAATCCAGAAAAGAATGTGATGTTCTTTCCATAAATCACCAAGGCTAATTATGCTATTTTATTATTCGATTGATATGAATAGGACAGATTAATTAAACTGAATACTGTGAAGTGGTTTATAATAATAAACAACTACATTGTTAACCTTAGAATTGTATTATGAGTAAGGTAAAACCTGAGGACTGCATTGCCATTGATTTTGGAACATCAAATACAGCAGTCTATGTGTATAAAGATAAGAAGTTTGATAATCCTGTATGTACTGCTGACACTAACTATTGTATTCCATCTGTTGCAGTGATTGATAAAAGTGGAATAACTGTTAGTGATAAAGTGATCAAATCTCAACCTTCAAAAGGATATATATATAGTGTCAAACGAATACTGGGAAAAAATAAGCATCAATTTGAAGAGAGTGAAATTGGTGAAGAAGTGTTCCACAGTCCACTCAATTTCGATGATCCCCAAAATCCGTATTTTGAAGTATCATATGGAGCTGGAAATTTGGCAGGATCTCGAAACGTATATCCTATTGAAGTAGCAACAGAGATTCTCAAGAAATGCAAAGAGGTGGCTGAAACAAGGCTAGACAGTCATCTTGATGTCCGCAATTGTGTAATGACAATTCCTAATAATTTCTTTGATACCAGTAAGAAAGTTTTAAGAGAAGCAGCGAAACGAGCTGGTTTGAATGTTTTGTATTTTTTGAAAGAACCTACTGCTGCTGGAATTTGTTGTTTAGAAGATAAAGAGAAAATAAAGAATGAAAAAGGGGAGAAAGTAATAGACTTAGGTATAAAAGAAGGTGAAATGGTAATGGTATTTGATTTTGGAGGAGGTACCTTGGATTTAACGTTAATGGTTCGTAATGGTGACGATTTTGATGTGAAAGCTCAAGGTGGTGATCCGAGCTTGGGTGGAGATAAGATTGATGAAATCTTTTGTAAATATGTATTACAAATATACCAAAATAAAAATGGTGAAGAGTTATTAGGAGATAACGTTGGTTCAAAAAGATACAAGAAAAAGTATACAAAGTTGTTGGATTTGTGTCGTGAAGGTAAAGAGCAACTATCTGCCAGTGTGAAGTTTGATATTCCTTTAGGTGATTTTAATGTGGAACATGATGATATGCTCATTACAGTTGAAGAATTCAATGGCAATGTAATGAAGATAATTCAGTCTCGTATTGATACAGCACTGGAGAATGATATCTTTAAGAGAAATATCGATCAGATAAAGCATGTTATTTTGGTGGGTGGTTCTTCTAAGATTCCCTTTATTCACAACTATATAAGACAGTGGATTCCAAATGCCAAAGTTCACAGGAGTCATAGTCCTCACACAGTCGTTGTCGAAGGAGCCATGCGTCATTTAGTGAATGAATATAATGTTGAAGAAGTATTCGAAGATTCACTTGGATTCGAGGTCAACAAAGAAATGAGCGAGCACTTCTATCCCGGAATCCGTCTTCCTTGTTCAACGATCAGGTATTTCACATTCTATAATAATAGGGATGATAACAAAATAAAGGTTCATCGCAAGGTCAATGGAAAATGGCGTATAGAAGGTGTAATCGATCTACAAGCCGCTTATGAAATGGGAATAAGAACAGGTCAAACAGTTCAAATCAGAGTGACGTGTACAAACGATACAAGTGTTACTTATACTGTGTTGGGTCGTGGACGAAAAGCAATCGGAACTTTAGATTTATCTTTAGTCTTTTCTGTTTGTTCCAACCCTTTGAAAATGGTATACACGAATTGTTAAGGTCCATAAAACTATAACAGAACTATAACCAGTTTATAGCATGTATAGTTGTTTTATGATTATCTATTTTTCTTAGTTAAACCTCAAAAATAATATATATGGATTCCATTAAAACGGAAGAATGTATTGCCATTGATTTTGGTACATCAAATACAGCAGTGTATACATATAAAAATGGGAAGTATCTCAATCCTGTTTACACTGTTGAGAATTATTATTGCATTCCCTCCGTTGCTGTAGTTGACAAACATAGTATTATTATTCCTGACATAGTAAATCAAACGCAAGTAAAGAACGGATTTGTTTATAACGTCAAACGAATATTAGGAAAAGTGGAATCGCAATTTGAAGATAGTGAAATTGATGAGAGAATGTTCAATAGTCCACTCAAGTTTGATGAACATCAAAATCCGTATTTTGAAGTATCATATAGAGTTAAGAAGAGTAAGGAAACTCGAAATGTGTATCCTATTGAAGTAGTTACAGAGATTCTCAAAAGGTGTAAAGAGGAAGCTGATAATTTGTTGGACACTAGCCCTGAGTTTCGTGATTGTGTAATGACAATTCCTAACTATTTCTTTGATCCCAGTAAGAAAGCTTTAAAAGAAGCAGCAAAACGAGCTGGTTTGAATGTTTTGTATTTTTTGAAAGAACCTACTGCTGCTGGAATTCGTTTCATTTCAGACTCAAATGAAATACGAGAAGGTGAAATGGTGATGGTATTTGATTTTGGAGGAGGTACCTTGGATTTAACGTTAATGGTTCGTAATGGTAATGATTTTGATGTGAAAGCTCAAGGTGGTGATCCAAACTTGGGTGGTACCAAAATCGATGAAATCTTTTGTAAATATGTATTACAAAAGTACAAAAATCAATATGGTGAAGATTTATTAGGAAATGACGTTGATTCAAAGAAATATAAGAGATGTTATCCTAAACTATTGGAATTCTGCCGTCAAGCCAAAGAACAGTTGTCTACTCAAAATAAAGCTACTATTTTCATTTCCGACTTTATAGATAATGACGATGTAGAAACAAACAAGGATATCGAAATAACTGTCGAAGAATTCAATGCCTGTATACTAGAAGATGGTGAAATAATCAGACGCATTGATAGAGCGATCAATAATTTATTCTTTGAGAATCACTATGATAAAGAGCACATTTCTTATGTTATTTTGATTGGAGGTTCTTCAAAGATTCCTCACATCCAAAACCATTTGAAGGATTTGTTTAAATCAGTCCCCGTGAGTAATACCAGAGACTATAATCCTCACACAACTGTTGTTGAAGGAGCCATGCGCGTCAAAGTGAACAATTGGTATCATGAAGTCTCCGAATCACTTGAGTGTTGCTTAGGATTCAAAGTGAGCGATGGACATAGCAATTCCGAGATTCGGATCGATTTATATCCAGGTCTGAGAATTCCTTTTACTATAGAAGATTACTTCAATTTGAGCGGAAGTGATATTGATGTATATCGATCATTCAACGGAAAAGAGAGAATTGAAGGCACGATAAAGGTCAAAGAAGCACTAGAAGAATTTGGTCAGCAAAAGATTAGGGTGAAAATTACTTGTAACAAAGATACGAGTATCGTATATTCTGTATATTCCGACGATGACCGAGAAATTGGTAGATTGGAATTAAGTCCGAAAATATAAAGATTCTTGGTTTGGATGTTGTTAGTATTGCTTTGTATTTTTGAAGTTTGTATTTGTTGTAAGAATCGAGTTTGACTAGTTTCCTTTTAGTTTGTACTGAATATAAACGTGATTGCACTGCTTGGAATCATTGTAGCTCTATTCCTTCCCGTTCATTAGTAGACAAGGCAACGGTTGATTTAACAATATCAAAGAAGCTGCCTACAAGTTATCGGCTAATTCAAGATGAATATGATTCTAGTTGTAAAACAATCGTTTCTAGGTCAGACCGCAAGTAGGATAGTGCATTATTCTACATAAAGAATAGATATTCAGTAGATGGATGTATTTCTTCCATTTCTGGATGTACTTGAATTGTTGTATAGTTTCGAATTAGTTATAAAGTGTAATGTCACGCTAAGTTCTGCTTCCGTTTATCTTCCTTCTTTGTCTGCTTCTGAAAAAGGGATATCGTGTAGCAGTAGACAGTATGATAGTTGGCAGCGTGTTGAGTACGATTTCGAGCGGTATCATGTTGTAGGAACATGCTTTGTCAGAAAAATGAGAAGGATGCATTCGCATCCTTGAAGGCTCATCTAGGCCGCTCCATTACCCAAAAGTTTCTATTAGAGTCGTACTATATCGTGATCGATGAAACACGATATAATCAAGAAGGCAGTATTTTTAAATTGTTCTTTTTGTTTGTTTAGGCTGTGCAGCGAATTGGTGGTACGTTCTCTATGTGCTTGTTGGTCTGCTAATTCTCTTCGTTTTTGTGTATGTTCTCTATAAGCTCTACTGGTACTGCAAAGGCATTCGCCACGCTCGCGCCTATGCATCCAAGTCCAAAGAAATGTGCGTTTTTTGTTACAAACAGACCATTTTATCAAATACTGCAATCGAAGATAAGGGATCGAGTCCCCATTCTTCAAATAGCACTCACACAGCAGCTGCTTGATTTCGACTGGAACGTCTCGATCCAAACTTTCGCCCAGAATTTGAATCGCTTCTTCGTAGCGTCGCTGTCGATAAAACAACAACCCCAGCAAATGCGCCGTTTCGATGTGTTTCGGATTCAGAGCGTGGCAGCGAACCAAAATCGACTCCACTTTCTCCTTCTCCGATTCGTCCTCCAGAAAAACCTTCGCGTAGAGCAGCGCCGCATGGAAAGAACCGCGGTTATGCTCGTAGAGTTGGCGAGCCAGCGTCCCCGCGCGCAGCGGCTGGTTTCGATCCTGGTAATACCGAAGAAGCACTACGATCGAATTGGGGAAACGTGGAAACGGGAATAGGAGAAATAGGAGGGGAAATAGTTCACCAAATCCCAATGTTTCTGCTCTAAAGAGCTGGCTCCCCGCGGTTCCTCGCTCACACACGCTTCCACCATTCGAACCAGCGAAAATGGAATCGTGGAAACCGTGGAAACCCGTGAGTTTCGGTTTTGTCCAATCAAATGGGGAGTTACGGCGAGGGAAAGACGCGCGATGTCGTCGAATTGATGGGCGGAGTCGACGGTTTGGAGCTACGAAGAGGGTGAGCATCGCGGATTCGATGCAAGAAACAGAGAAACAAACAAAGAGAAACAGAAAAAAAGAGAATTACAAGTTCGGACCAGCGCGTAAAGCGGTCAAAACGGAGGGAAAACAGATTTGACAAGGCCAGTTGGCGGGAAAGCAGGGCAGAGGGCTGGAGCTGGTCGCTGATGGCGCGGAAGCGAGCTTCGGAGTCTTGGAGTGGGTAGAAACGGGGAAAGGTACCGTGGGGATCGGAGAGAAGATTCAGTTCCGCGGTTTCGATGGTGTGCTCGGGAGAAGGCAGGTCAGGGAGGGTGAAAGTGGAGGCGATTTTCATTCTGCGAGAAATAAACGAAGCAAACAAATCAATTGTACTCTTTGAAGTCTGAAATGCGCGCAAGAATTTGAATGGCTTCGATAGCATAAGGTTCCTTTCTAAAGTTCATTGAGTATGTGTTCAATCCACTCTAAAACGCAGTTTGCACTCATAGCAGCGTTTCTAGAGTCAATTACATAAATGATATCTACTGATAATCGTTGCAGCACCAGTAAAGAGTTGATAACTTCATCCACACGTTGCTGGTTCGTCTGGATGAGGGAATTGCCTCCAACTACCAATCAACCCATCTTCCTTCCAATTCTTACAAATAAGATGCAATTTCGAATCATCACCTTGTCTTCTTTGTCACTGGCAGATTTATATTCACATTCACAGAGTTGGTAATGTAAAGTGTCTTCTTGTTCCTCCTTCTCTTTCGAATCATTTAGACATGAGAGCAAGGATAACGATAATTGATAATAATACTAAAAATACTCACGAGAAACCAAACCTTACCGCAGCTTGTTTATACTTCTCATTTCGAAATAAGCAATCGGCGTAGAGTATTGTTCGAGCCACATTCTCAACAGTGTCGAGATTCTTTTCAGAAAGCAGTAACGCGCACCAATACTCTGCTGAATCATACAATTTTTCATCGAGTAGGTGCAATATCGTGTTCCTATCAATGTTGAACACACCCATTGCAAAAGAATGCAGACTCTGCACCAAAGACTTTATGGAAGGTTTAAAGTTTGTTTCAAACAAATAATTGAGCAAGTTATCCAATCCACTTATGTTTACAATGAATGCACATGAAAATCAACGCCATCGCTTCGTCTCCATCACCGTGAGCCTGGAAAAACACACAGCCCTTTTCATGGCACTCTTCACATTCCTTGTTCTCGTCACGACTGAGAGTGGGGTCCTCTACAATATCGTTGTTCACGAGGTTAAGAATTGATCTAAAATGAACCACACTACGAATGCCTACCTTGACTCGGCTTTATAGGAAATTCTATATATGCACGGCTCTCCAGCATCTTCCATATAGCCGCAGTTGTCACATTTGTAAATTAGTCTCGATCTGTGTACTCCCGAATTCTCTTCTTTCGGAAACATAAGGTTGTTGCTATATAGAATTAGGTGAAGACATTGAGAGTGTACCATTGCTTGCAAAAGTGCATTTTCACAGATGTTCCTATATCCGCCCTATGGAATCAATAGAAGGAAGAGAAAAGCAATACATGTTGTTCCAGCACGATGACAAACACACAAACAAAAGTCTTTTGACCCAAGAGACAAAAAAAGTTGCTATGGGAATGGACTTTGTATCTGGAATTGATACAAGTGAGTGCTTGATTCCGTGGATTATTCTTTTAGCATCGTTTACCGAAAAGGGAACAACCATCACAAGTCAAGTAAAAAAGCAAATCACGATTTCTACAAAGTTGGACGAGTACGTGTAGAGGATTTTTGCTATTTTTAGATGGAGTCGAGAGTGGAAGATGAAGTTACCTGAAATGGTGTATGGAGATAATTGTCTAACTGTATCCTTTGATCATTCTCCATTCAAACTGATCGTAGGAACTTTGTTTTGGATGATAGACAGTTTTCGCCCTTGTATGTTCTTCAAAATCGCTGCCGTGAAAACGAATTCGATCCTCTGCAGATCTCTTTTGATACGGTTCACGTCGATGGCACATTGAAGGTTTTTTCGGATGGATATCATTGGGCATTTCCTTCCTTGTAGGAACAAAAGGACTTTTTTTTAAGAATCAGAGCAGGTGCTGGCGGTTTTGATCCTTCCTGCGAAGAGGATTGTGAGGGGAGTTTGCCTTACGATCTCTTGCAGGAGCGCGCAGAGATTCGTTGGTACAGCCAAATGCTGTTGTTTGAAGATGATCTGGCGGATTTTGGCTATGTGATGATGGAGTGTCGATGTGTAGAGATCACTTGTTCTATCGAGAGTGTAGAGAGTCATGAAGGACTATTATTACATTCTGCAGCAGCAGTATCTTCGGATTGATCGTCGCTGCGTGTATGTGATCAGTCATCGCTACTTTCAAGTGACTGCTTCTTTTTTGGGTTTGATTCGTAGACGTTCGGGGATTCGTGCGTGTTGCACGATTTTTCCGTGCAGAAACTGGAGTGGGATGCGCTTTCGCCTACGGAGAATCGGCTTCTCTTTGAGGATGTTCGCAATGCGAATCGGTTTCAGGATCGCATGCAGTCGATCCAGCACCGTTTTTCTCGAATTCACATTTCCTTTCTTTGTTCCAACACACACCACGAAACAGAATACAAAGTACAAGTTACAATCATTCTTTGCTCGGCTTCGGCGGCCGCACTGCTTTGATGTGCACTCTCTCCACAGGTTCGCCGCTTCCCTTTCCTTCCATCGCTTCCTTCGTCGCAGGCAACGTCGAATCCGTGGCTTCACTGCTACTCGTACCACTGTTTCCACCATTTCCACTGTTTCCACCATTTCCACTGTTTCCATTGGCTCCGGCCATGCGGATGGTGGGTTCGATCTCCGGTTCCGCGGGGGATCTGGCTTCCGCGGGGACGGGGATGGTAATGGGAGAGGCGTTTTGCTGGCCTTTTGCAGTGAAGGAAGCAGGCACCAAAGCGGAAACCGAAGCAGGAGCGGGAGGAGGCGGATTGGCGGCATCGGTGGACCCTCTGGAGTAGGAAACCCTTCCGTTCTTGGTGGACTGCGCGACGACGCGGACGGGAAGGCGCTTGGCGCGGCAGCAGGAGCATCTACGTGGAACCAGCCGCCCATCCGCACTCCTGGCAGCAGCAGGCGCAGAGGCAGAGCGCGAGGATAACCGCGAAAAAGGTCTCCATGAAGTACTCCAAGAAGAAAAAGCGGAGACGAAGCCAGAAGTCCAGATCGGCCTCGGGCTCGATGTCGGTTCCGTTGAAGTTCTCGTTGGTGCGCGGATCGAAGTCGTTAATCACCGCGTAGTTCGAGACTGCTCGTCATTCTCTCCTTTCATTCCCACCGAAACAGAACGAGGACGGAACGCCCAGACCCACGCGGTCGTTCTCTCGGTCGTGGAATACTGTTACGCCGCGCAGGAACGCGTCGCCTAGCAGAATGTACTACACGTGACGCGTCGAATTGGCTGGCTACGGAGGCTTCCACGGGGTACACGCCGAGATACCAGTACGAGAAAAAGCCTTGTTTGATTTTGGTGAAATACACGGAGGGCGGAACACGCACGTCGATGTCTCCGAAGTGCAGATGCAGGTCCGGCCATGAGGACGTCGGATCGATATTGAGCGCCTGGCCGTCGAAGAAGCTGGGCCGCGAGGAAACGCCGGGCAGACTTGGGTATTGCTGAGTGACGACGGTGTAAAAAATGGTGTAGAGGGCGGTGGGGAGGAGAAGAAGCGTGGTTCCGGAGTCGAGAATGGCTTGGTAGCGGCTCTGCGGCTCAGCGGAGGATTGAAGAAAGCACGGAAGTGATTTCGACGGAGCCGAATCGGAATTTCGTGAGGGAGATCGAATAGAACGCGGGGTCCTGGACGTCGATCCAGTAGATTTCCCCCGCGACTAACTGGGAATCGAGCGCTCCGAGGGAGAGAATGCCCTTCTCCTCGCTCAGACAGAGCCCAAAGACGTCTTGGTAGCCGTCTTTGGCGTAGCGAGCGTAGAGGTCGTCGAGAATCGTGTTGTGGCACGTGGGCGAGCAGTACAGATTCGAATAGGCCAAGCCAAGAAGACCGTCCGTGTTGCCGTCCCACGTGCCTTGCTCGCGGCTAGGAGTTAAAGGGAGAAGAAAGGGAGGGCTACGCGACCACGCCGAAGGTGGTGGTTACGGGGGGACTGGAAGTGTCGTTGTAGCCAAGAAGCGAAGAAGAATCTTGGTAGAGACCGCCTTCGGCACTGGGAGAGAGAAAGAGAGGAATCGAGAGAGTACGTGCTGCCATCTCCGTAGGATAAGTAGAAGGCGCAGAGAGTGCTGTTGGTACGGGAACAGCACTTGGAGGAGGAACAAACATTCCGGTCGACACATCTGGCATTGCATGAATCTGTATGTCATAGAGAGAAAGAGGAACTGCTTTCAGAACACAGAGACGAGGTACAGCCGATTGGGAAAGATGTCGAGCTACTATCAGGAGAATATCCACTGTAGTACTATAAATGTGACAAGGAATTTGTTGGAATACATGAGTACACGCAGAACAAGATACACTTTCCAGCAACAACAAATTCGACCCAGTATCCTGAGAATTGATTTTACTCAAGAGTCCCTACAATATGCAAACGCACTTTTTGCTCATTGGATCCAACAACCATATCACACCAATACATTCCACTAATAGGTTTCCCTTCGACAACAACACGAATTGGATCGAATCCCTATATGAAAATTAGAACTACGAAGATACCAATCCTATCGCCACGATTGATAAAAATGCGATGTAAAAATACATAAAACGAGGAAAGCTATTAGCAGAGAATCAGACCCACAAGGAATATATTTTCTTTGTTAAACACACTTTGACGGAACACTCATTTCTCTGTTTGTACTTGGCTCGGAAGATGGTGATTCATGATATTGGGATTGTAATAGATATATATGTGTGCATTCTGCTACCATTAATATATGCAATTTACAATTCTGTGAGTTCCCCTCAATTTGATTGCAGTAATGTTTGAAAAATAGTGAAGAATAATTAGAAACATTCATTTATTTCAAAATGTGAGTGTTGCTTGTCCTGTGAGTATTCTCTTCTACAATACACAAAAATGTGTTTATATATACATATACATATTTTTATCCAGATAGTTAAGATGCCATATTTTCAGCTTTTCCTATAACACAACATCGAGCAATAGAAAAATATAAAAATTTCATCATCAATTAGTATTTCACAATGTATGAAATCAACGAATATGATATTTACGGAAATATCTGGATACAAAGAATTTTGCCTCCATTTTCCTCTCGTTCCCGAAAATGGCAGAATTGGATATTCCTGTAATCGTAAAGCGATTTAAGGAATACGTTCTTTCGGAATGCAGAGAACAACTGATGACAGTAATGGCGCATCCAGACTCTACGAAACACTTTGGAATCTATGTGAGGTATGCATACATGCGGTTTTGGTCTAACTCCAAAGCATTCAAGCACTACTCGCATATGACTCTGAGTTAGGCAATACTGTTTTAAATCGATCTTTGCAAACAACATCTTTAATGGATATTTCACTTCGTGAAGCACAGGAAACGATTTTCAATATCATTCAAGGAGAAGAGCAGCGATCTTTGCTTTCTATTAAGGAACTTTGTCACTGCCGTTTTTACGATCTCCCCCCAGTTCCAGAATTCCACAAGCCTAGTGTTGGCATGATTCGCAGTGATGATTTGGGTCGATTGGTTCAATTCAGCGGTACTGTGATCCGTACTGGGATGGTATGATTACTAGTCTGTATTAATTGCAGATCAAGATGTTGGAGGCAGAGAAGGAATACGAGTGTCAGAATCCTCGCTGTCGCTGTCGATTTAAAGTGAAAGCGGATATCGAGCAAGGCGGCATCATGGAGGTTCCTGTATTTTTCTCTTCGAATAAATGATGGTTTTAGACTCGCTGTCCATCGAACCAAAACGCGGGGAAGTGTAAATCTGTGCAGTTCAAACCGATCGAAGTGCGTCGTTTTTAATCGACTTTTATTCAGGGCAGCGTGGTGTGTTGCGATTACGAAGAGATTCTCGTGCAGGAGCGAATCCAGATGCTCGAAGTGGGCACCATGCCTCGTTCCATCACGATCATTCTATTAAACGACCTGGTTGATTGCTGCAAAGTTTGTTTTCTGCGCTACCCAATGAGAAATAGGCTGGAGATGATATAGTGATCACGGGAATCGTGCGACAGCGCTGGAAGCCGCTGACACGCGACCAGAAATGCGAAGTGTTTATGATCGTTGTGGGCTTGTCGGTGCGATTGGTGGGCGATAAGGACAATGATCGGTTTTTGACGGATGGTAGGCGATGAGGGAGCGAACTCGATGGCAGAGATGATTCAGAAGTTCCAGAAATACTGGGAATACTATTACACGATCCAGAAACGCCCGTTTCTGGGCCGAAACATCCTGGTGAGCAGTTTCTGTCCCTCCCTCTACGGCCTCTACCTCGTTTTCCTTTTTTTTTGATTGAGTGAATCAAGGTGAAGCTCAGCATGCTGCTCATCCTCATCGGCGGCGTCTCCGATCGGTCCTCCGAGAAGAATCCGGTGCGCGGCCAGAGCCACATCCTCATCGTCGGCGACAGTTCCACGGGGAAGAGCCAGCTCCTTCTCTTCGCGAACCGCGTGGCGATTCGGAGCGTGATGACGACGGGATTGGGCACGACGAGGTAAGCGAAGAGAAGGCGCTGGGACGTAGCGCGGGCCTGACGTGCTCCGCGGTGAAGGACAGCGGAGAATGGATGCTGGAGGGAGGAGCGTTGGTGCTGGGCGATCGCGGCGTGTGCTGCATCGACGACTTCAATTCGATCCGCGAACACGACCGAGCGACCATCCACGAAGTGGGAGCTGGGAAATGCCGAGACGTCTAGGCAATGGAGCAGCAGCGACTCTCGGTGGCGAAGGCCGGGATTGTGACCACGCTCAATACGCGAACCGTGGTTATCGCGACGTGCAACCCGCGGGGAAAGTACGACGTCTCGCAGGATTTGTCGGTGAACACGTCGATCGCCTCGCCGCTGCTGAGCCGATTCGATTTGATTCTGCTGCTGCTGGACAATTCGAACAAGAGCGTAGGGAACCCGCGGGGATGGCAGCGTAGTGGGACAACAGCGCGGTGAACTACATTCTGAACATGAACGTGAACGCGCAGTCGTCGCTGACGAGCAGCTATTCCGCGCGGTATCAATGTAGGATCGCGTCGCTTCTCGCCGAATAGCCGCGTTGTGGTCGGTCGAGGAGCTGAAGGGCTACGTGCTCTTCGTCCAGCGCCAATTCCAGCCGCGTCTCTCCTCGTCTGCGCAGAAGATCCTCACGCATTACTACCAGTACGTGCGTGGGCACAACAACAGCGTCGCGCAGGCCACCGTGCGGCTGCTGGAGTCGCTGATCCGCTTGGCGCAGGCGCACGCGCGGCTGATGATGCGAAGCCGCGTGGAGACGATGGACGCGGTGGTGGTCGTGCTGCTGATGGAGGCGTCGGTGCTGGGGACGGGACTGCTGGGTAGGAGCGAGGCGTGGCTGCGAGGTAGACATCAACAACCTGCTGTACGTGGACTTCCCGACGGACTGCGAGGCGGAGTACGCGAATCTGGAGAGCTTTGTGCTGTCGAAGCTGGGGTTGGAGTGGGGATTGGACGGCGGAGTGAGCGGCAGAGACGAGATTCCGCCCACCGATTTCGCTGCGATGGGAGTCTCCGAGTTGGCTCAGCGAGGCGAGGGGGAGAAGGCCGGGGAAGCGGGGAGGGAGGGCGTGGGCGATGCTCTCTTCTCGCAGAGCGGATCGCCCGCAAAGCCCAGCGCGGGCAATGCCGAGTTGCTTTTCCCGACCCCCACAAAGGAAGCAAAGGAACCAAAGGAACCAAAGGAATCTTCGAATTCGATGGAACCAAAGGAATCTTCGAATTCGATGGAACCAAAGGAATCTTCGAATTCGATGGAACCAAAGGAACCTTCGAATTCGATGGAACCTTGCCCGCCTTTGTCGAACTTCCAAAGACGAAACGCTTCGTTGCCGGTGTCTCCCCACAAACCCACTCCCCCTTCCTCCCTCCCCCCGGTTTCCCCGGTTTCCCCGGTTTCCCCGAAGCCCTCAGCCCCGGTGGCGTCCTCCGTGCCCGGCGAAATCCCTTCCATCCCCGCGGGGAACGCCCTGGAAGGCGCGCTGAACGACGAAGATTTGCTGCAGCTGCTGGAAATCGAAGAGCAAAAGGCGGCGGAGGGGAAGGCGGCGCTGAGCAACGAGGTGGATCAGATCTTTGCCTCCATGGAGAACGAGGCGAGCGGGGAAAACGCGGGCGGCGCGGCGGAGGGCGGAGGGAAAGCGGTGGAAAGCAGTCTGCGCGAAGAGCAGTTCCGACTGTCGCAGGAGGTGTCGGGGCACTGGAGCGAGCTCAGTCAGCTCAATAATAGCGTGCTGCAGTCGGTTGCGCCGAAGGGGGTGAACCAGACGTTGTCGCTGGATGATATGGAGGATTTGATGAGTGAAGACATGAAACAGTTTTTTATGTAATACCTTATATGTTTCGATGTTTTTCATAACAATTATTTTTGTAGGGTATTTAACAGCTATATTGGCAGCTTTGGGATGGGGTACGTTGAACAATGTCGTGCTATTTACGCACTCGGCTCCTGGAGTTTATCACTTCCATTTCATGGGGACCCGATTCTTGTGGGCACTTATCTTTGCCATCATCTTCGGTAACTCTGCCATGCCACCAAGCAAGGGAGAATCTGTACTAAAGAACCTGAGCGAGTTGTTCCATGCCCCAGGGAGTGTGATAATGTCGAAAATTGGAGTTACCTTTGTTGCAGGGTTTACGGACATGTTGTTTCAAATTTTCATTCTTGGAGGGGTTGGTGCAGCGGGACTGTCGAATTCCGTCCCTCTTTTAATCGGAATGGCAACCATTATCGGTTCTTTCACAACATATGTCATTGAAAGGAGGGCGAACCTTTGGTTTTTTGTTCCCGGAGTGTGCTTCAACGCCCTCTCCGTCCTTTTCAACACAGTGACCTATCAATCTCTCGGTCGGGACCAGAGAGCTAGCGAGGACAAAGAGAGCCTATTGGAGGAAGGAAAGAAATCTTCCAGTGAAGTAGAATCATCTAGTTGGTGAATGTGATTCTAGGTGAGAGCAAAGATAAGCACATGGAAATTGTTTTTGATCTGCGTTTTTGGAGGTGGGCACAGTGAACGTCTGTAATATTATCTAGGAGTCCTGGCTGCTTTCTGGAGTCCCATGTCTACAATTGCTGAGAATGATCCTTATGCACTGAATCCTTATGTAGGCAGCTCTTTTCATTATCTCTCTCTCTCTTGACACGCAGACTTATCTTGTCGTTGCGTCCTTTTGGAGCTTTGTCACGGCTCTTCCCTTTTCTTAGTTTTCTCTCTCTTTATCTTGATTCGAATCTAGTCTGTCTCTTCGCCATCCTTTTTCAGGCCCACCGAATTGTTTAAAGGACCTGTTTATCGTACGCTGGAAAGATCTTATCCCAGGTAGTGGAAGGGGGAGTCAGGTTGATTGTAGCATTTTGTGGAGGATTCTTCTGGGTTTTGGGGGCGATCGGGTTCTGTTTGGGCGCTCCGCTGATTGGATTTGCGATCGCGTTGGAGGTGCGGGAAGGGCGTGAGGAGTAGATATGTGATTGGGCAGTCCGCGCCCTTCATCTCCTCGCTCTATGCGATCTTCTACTGGAAGGAGTTCAAGAAGGCGTCAAGAAAAACGTGGTTCTACGAGATTTGCATGCTGAGCTCGCTCGCCATCTCCGTGATTTTCCTGTGTTTCGCTCAGTAACAAACACTTGACTCTTTTTTGTTTGAGAAAAACTGAACCACATCTCCAGAGCTCTCCAGCATGGGGAGATCGGAGGACATCACTTCTTTCAGAGCCTTGCGCAGACGCGGCGGAGGCGTCGCGATGGCCACAAACTCCTCGTCGCTCAATGCTTCCATCAGACGCATGTCGTCCCCCACGCGGCTTCGCACTTGCTTCATCCAGTCCTCGACGTCTTTTTGGAGCGATGGATCGCGCGCTATGACTGTTTGGATGCTCTTCATTAATTCAGAGGCGGAGGATTCGGACTCGGGGAATAGACTGCGAATATCGATTTCCGCCAAACTGGCTTCCGCTTGGTTGACCATTTCATCCAGTTCGGCTTGAAGAGCACGCTTTGTTTCGGGTTTCAGATCTAATACATCCATGAGCTGCTCCGGAGACATATTCTCGTAGTCTGGATGACGTCTGAGAATGCCTTCGAACTCCTGTATGTCCTTTTCCTCTTCCTCACTTTCAATTTCTTCTTCAGATAAAATGGAGTATGCTTTGAGGAGAGAGGCGCGCGCTTTTGGGTCGAGATGGTCAAAGTCCAGTGTGATGTTTCCCCGACCGTCGTTAGGACCGAAAGATGTATTTAGGTTAGAATCACTTTCAAATGGGCTCGTTTGGGCAGTGGATGGTTGAGAGAAGGGATTTCCATGAGAATTCATTTCATTTGTTTCGTCTGCAAAGGTGCTGGTATCTTCAATAATCCCTATCGTTCATTTTTCTTCTCAACATGTACGTTTTGGTAATGACCTGGTAAACGAACGAAAATACACAGGAAGGAACCTCCTTGATGCCCTGCAAAGTGAACTAGCACTTTTCAACATGTGTTCAAACAAGAAGTGAGATTCAAATCGTTTGAGGTTTAACATCGACATAGTACATAAAGCTACAAACTCTACTTCTCCAAATCACTGCTATCGACCCAATCGCTTTCATCTGAAGAACAGTCCGAACTTGATTCTCCAAACTCATGTGGCTTGTGGTAAATGCAACATTCTATCCGAAAATGCATAAAAAGGCAACTACTTTTTGATCGTTTTCGATTCATATGTTCGTTGTCAACAGTGTCCTCTGTCCAACGTACGTGAGGTCGCAGACGCAGTTCATAGATCGTAGATGGACTTCGTCGTTCCACATTCGTTTCTAACCAAAGTGAGAGGAGCAAATCACCTTCTACGTGCCTGTCTGCAAACAACTTCCCTAGACATTTTCTAGCAAAATAAAAATAATGGTTCAAAGAAAGAGTTGGCATTTCTATGGAACGAACTGTTGATAATGAATCGTTTTTTTATTATTATTTTGTGAATAGAATAAAATAAAATAAAAATATGGAACACGGGAAATAGAATCTAGACAAGTGTGATATTGAATTATTGTTCTTGTCAAGTCTGTAATCTGTGCCATAATTCCTGGACTACATTCCTATTCCATGTCTTTCTGTGTCTCTGAACGATTGATCCAAACAAACCATGCAAAACGCGCAAAATCTAGAATGAACACTGTTTCTCCCGTTTCTTCGTTTCTTCAACCGTCTCTAAAAACCGCGGTAACGTCTCCATCACATTGACCGGCATGAGTGGATATCGTTCCTCATCATACGATTCCTCTTTGCAAATAATGCGAACCAACGTGTGCAATGGGATGGAGTAATACGGGATCTTCTCCTTGGCCGTATCGATGAAGTACGAGATCAGACATCGCAGCACGGCCTGATGCGAGACCACGATCACGGGTTTCGTGGTCCGTTCCAGCTCGAAAATCACCGGCTGCAGCCGCTCAATGATGTCGCAGTAGCTCTCTCCCCTCCGTGTGACCCATCTCTCCCACGCCTACTGCGGGTACCGGAAGTTGAGCTTATCGCGTTTGCGCTGCGCGGCGAGCTCGGGGAACTGCTGGCCCATCTCTTTGTAGGTCAGGTTCTCGCACACGCCCGCGTCGATCTCGTTGAGCGCGGCCCAGCGCACGCGGCTGTTGCAGTCGATGTACATGGCGGTCTGCACGGTGCGGCGCTTGCAGCTGGTCCACACGGCGAGGCGCTTCACGTCCACCTTCTCGAGCGACGCGACGAATCTACGAGGGAGCCAGCGCGCGGACTGCGACTTGCCGAGGTGCTTCGCGTATTGCCGGCCGAAGTCGGTGAGGTTGGGGTCGCCGCCGATGCGGTCCTCGAGGTTGTACTCGGATTGGCCGTGGCGAGTGAAGTAGATGGGCTTCGGCTCGGGGTGCAGGTTCATCACGAAGGAAACGATCGTCGTGGGGAGGTAGCCGCGCACGTTGTTGGTGATGTAGCGCTTCCGGTTGTCCTTATTGATCTCCACGATGCAATAGACAGGGTCCTCCTCCTCCTCCAGATCGTCGTAGCTAGCGATTAACAACAGCGACACGCGCTAAAGAACCAACCTGCTCATCTGGAACTGCACACGGTTTTCGTAGTCCTTCATGGCTTGCTGGGAGTCGTATCCCATGTACTCGATCGAAAAAAGCTTTTCTCGCTGCACGCGGCGAAGACGGATCGAAGTGTCGTTGACTCTCATTTCGATCCATAAAGGAAGGTGGACGTTTGGCTACAGTGGTTATACACATACACATGAAACGCAATACCTCATTAGAGATAAGCTTGGTGATGTGCTCTCGCATCGAGCGCGACAGATTTGAACCATCAAATAAGCCGACCTGGCCTCCTTCACGGAGGTAAGCAAACAATTCCTGAAGTGTGTCTGTAATCACGTTGAGGCGCAATTTCTTCATTTCTTCATTTTCTTCATTCCAGTACTCAGCAGGAGGCGATGCATACTCGGGATAGCGATGCTTGCGCACATCACTACAAGAAAAGACGCGCGCATTGTATCCCTTCCATTTTAAGAAACGGCTGATTTTATTGGCCACATACCTAAGAATGAATACACAAACCAGGAAGAAGAGGATACGTCTTGCCACAGCCCGAAATTCCAACCATACAAATAACAAGCTTTACTCCATCCCCGAGTTGCATCAATCCTCCAAGTCCAGGAACGCCATGAACACATGCATCACACTCTAACGTACGACCAGGTAAAACTTCTATACATAATTTGTCGGAGGCAGTGCTACGGTCCTCTGCTGTGTTATCCATTTTTTATATCTTATAATAGGATTACTTCCACCTGGTACACCATTTGCCAAATGGCCCAGAACCTAATTATGAATGATGAGTTTGATTAAAAATCAAACATGAGTCAATCAGTAAGGAACTAAAGACACCGCTGCACGCTTCGCCTTTTTCTTCTTTTTCGGAACAACTTGCAATCCGTTGTTTCCTTTGTTGTTTGAAGGAACCTGGGAACTAGGCTTGGAAAACAGGTTCTTTAGACGTTCGTCCTCTCTTTTGAGAGCTTCTTCTTGTTTTTGCCTGATAGCTTCTTCCAATTCTTTGTCATCTTCCTCATCTTTCTCCACTTTCACTTCCTGCTCTAACTTTGTCTGTTTTTCTTCACGACTCCGAACAATTGACAAGGCTTCCTCAGGATCTAAATTCATAGTTTTTCGCTGTTGCGCCTGGATCGTGTCCAGAGCATCATATGCATCCATTTCATTTTTTGATTCTTCTATTCGATTCTCAAGTGCCTTCATTGCGTCCATCTTTTCGGCTTCTTCCTTCTGTGCCTTTTCTTCTAGCTCTAATTGTCTTTCGTTCATCCACAAGCACGAGTTTTGTGTAGCTCCGTACTCTACAACATAACTACTGTTCTTTGGATCGGTTTTTATTGCAAACTCGGAACCGCAGTTTACACACTTAAAATAGAATCGGGTAATCGCAATTCCCAGATAATCTTCTCCATTCGCATTCTCTTTTCTTGTATTGAACTTCTTGCCGGCATACATGAATTCTCCACAGGCGTTACACCTCACTGTGAAGGGCAGCATCATACGGACGCTGAATTGTCCGATATTCGACAGCTTGATTTTGCCTGCCTTTTCCGGATCAAAGTTCCACGGAATGAACTTGTTTACGACTTTTCGTTCACCCATTCGAAAAAAGAATGAAGTTTGTTTTTTTAAACGGGAGGAGTGAGATTTATGAGAGTATGTGTTGCATAATGGAATAGAAAATATGTGTGAGGTGATTGGTAGTTGTGGTTGTTCGTGTAGTTGTAGATCCTACTCTTTTTGTTAAGTAGTTATGTGGTTCCTCCTATTATTTTTCAGGTAGTAGTAGTAGTATTTAGCAATCCAATTTCGATTTCTAGGTTATCTATCTATCTATCTATCTATTTATCGATTGATTGATCGATCGATTGTACCAAAACATGCACCTAACAAACAATAACTATCCCTCGTCTTCAATCAACCATCGTAGAAATAACCATCGCCTCAATAGCGTCGTACATGGCGTATTTTACACAAACACCCTCACTTAGGACCGATAATCACACTTTCATAGGCCCTTTGGGACCTTTCAAATACTGTACAAGGTAACTTGGAATCTCCCTGAACAAAATCGAGCAAGTTCACCGAAGAGTTTCGATTCGACTGCAACTGCGCGGCCAAGAGTCCAAACGAGCTGTCCTTCGTGATGGCCAAGAAATCCGCGCGCTGCAGGACCAAGAGGTCGATGATGGCGCGCTTCGTAAACAGCTCTCCATTCCCCTTGAACACACTTTTCGCTCGCGCAGAGTGTCCGATTTGGAACTCGCTGGTGGTGACAATGCTCCCCGGATATCGCTTCTCAAAGAGAGCAATCACGCTCGGTGTGTCGGTGGACACAAAGACGTGGAAGTCGCGCGGCTGGAGGGAAGAGCGTCGGGCGAATCCATCGATCGCATCGAAGAAGAGCGAGACGTTTTCCATGTGCAGGAATCGCCGGTCTTCTTTCAAGTAGCGCTGGCCGCCGATGCGCACCTGCACGCCGATGAAAACTTTGCGGAGGAGACGGGAAATGTACGAGTTCGCGAGGCTGCACAGCGGCTCGCGGGGATACAAAAACAACTCGTTCAACAAGTTCCGAAGTTGGCGCAAATGCGGCGATTGCTCGTGCCAGAGATTGAGATCTCGAAGGGTCGATTCATAGCGTTTGTTCAGCAGGAAATGAGGGGTCACGTCCGTAAAGCAATCGACGATGATCGCTGGTTTGCGGACAAGTGAATCCAAGTGGTTTCTTCGAAGGGCACGACCCTGAGCCAAAGTAGCAAAGAAAAAGTAGTTCTGCGTCAATGAAGAATTAACCGAGTTGCTCTTATAGTAAAAATTGGGTAAAAAAGAATAGAAGTATGGAGAATAGTACATGTACCACATCACTACGAGTAACGAATCAAAGAAAAGAAAAGAAAATACTTTGAATTCCACGGTTTGAAGCTACCGCTGCAACAAAAGAAGATACCAAACCAACAATTACATTTCCCAGACCCGATTCGTTGTTCACTTTGTAGATGATAACTTTATTGGTAGTTGCAATTTGATTCTGCAACTTCGAAACATGTTCCAGCAACTCCCCAAATAATTTTTCTTGGATATCACTATTATTATTTGTAGTTGTGATGGGAATAATGCTTTGCATGGAAGACACAAAACCTGGACTTGTTTTCACGGCAAATCCATTCAGAAAGGGGTATTTCCATATAAGCAGCCCATTTGCCAAATAAAACTTGATGTAAAATACAAAGTAGAGACATGCAAGTAAAAAGGACACGACTTTCTACACAATGACCATACACACTAAAAACGACTTTCCATGAACTTACTGTCATTTGCTCTCTCAGTGGTATTGATAGGAACAAACAGAGCAAGAATAACTTTATTCCGAAAAAAAGTCTTGGATGTACATCTGTATCTCGTTTCGACTGGCTCCTTTGTAATTCGGATTGCCACAAATCGACTGGAAGCACCCCACGAGCGTGCTCCAACTCTCTCCTGCATCGTGTCGACATGAGTTCTTGGCCAGAGAGCAAATGCAGCCCAGCTGTTGCTTCCAAAAGGGGATGTCTCCGCTCCATTCTCGCTTCTCGAGATAGAGAGCGATGGCCTGCAAAGCGAGGCAGTGGTTCTTGAGCGAATAGCAGGGACTTCGCAGGTCCATAACCTCGTTCAAAGGGATCAAAATGGCATCAAAATCGATGAGTTTGGGAAGGCAAAACACGCGAAACAAGCTCTGCAAGAGGATTTCCGTTTGCCGGACATCGTGTCGAAGCACCGCGATGAGAGAGGGGAGAAGCTCATAATACTGAATTCGATCAATCTCGCTGCACTGCATCCAATTTTCGAAATAGATCTGCACAATCATCGACTGCACCAGCGTGGAATCCGACGAAAGCAGGGAGGAAACGAACGGAGCGATCTCTTCCATCTTCAGAAGCCTTTTGCGAAACAGAGAGCACACCAACCTCGCCTTCGTTTCGTCATCCAGCGACTTTTTAGGGAGTAAATCCAGAATATCCTTCGCGGATACAAAACCTCTCGAGCAAGCGATTTCGAGGAGTTGGAACAGCGGACTCGGCACCGTGGACACATCGAAACCGGCGAAAAGAGCGTTCTGCGTGGGGACCAGCGAGGGAGAATTCAGCGAGGCGAGGAACAGAGTGTATTCCAGACTGGTGGAATAGGAAGAGAAGGGTGCTCGCTGCAAAAGGACCGGGAGTTTGGCCAGCAATAGATCTGTGGAGGCATATTTCAAGGCGAGGAGTAAAAAGGAAGTCAAGGAAGGGAAGGAGGCAGGAAGCAAATCGCACGCGACGTCGATGAAGAGGGAGAAGCAAGAGGATTTCTGCGTAAAGTGCAACAACTCACCCAAAAAAGGAAGCAGCAAGACGAGAGACGCTTCAGACAAACTGGGAGATTGCCGCAAGAGATTCGCAACGACATTGTCAACGACACCACGGATATCCTCGTTTGGAAGAAGTCGCGTAAGGCTTTGAATCGCATCTGCAACCAGGGGACTCTCCCACAGGGAAGAGTTCGACAGTTGGCAAATCAGTTCCACGCTTTTTAAATGGATCGAACGTCCCTCCTTTTCGCTATTTGTCGACTTGTGGGAAGCAGAGTCTCTGAGCAGCGTGATGGTTTCTGTAAAGTCATAGCGAGAGAAACAGTCTGTGGAGTATAAGTAGAGAATGAATAATGTTTCCATGTCGATCAGAGGCTGGAATTGAAGGCTCGAGAGCTTGCTCATCTGCAAGAAAATGATAGTGACTTGTGAGATTGTGAGCTAGAGATGAGAAACCAGGAAAAAATTAAAAAAACAGGAATGAAACGAGAGAGGCCAATGAAAATAGATATAAGAAGAATCAACTCCCTTTCATAATAGACAGACAATAAGGTAGATAATGTTGATAGATGAATACTGATCATTTCGGCTATGTCATGCTCATAGATTTGAAGTAGCAAATCAATAAAATGTGTGGACAGGTGCGACTTGACAAAGCCCTCCGCGAAATAGAGATCCTAGATAATAATATTACACAGGGAGGATACCTCATGATGGAGAATCGCAGAGAGGATTCTGAGAAGAGCGTGTCTCTCAGAAAAGTACTTGGCTAATGCGAATTCAAGGGACGAGGCTTTCCAGTGAACATGTAAATCGAATCGTCTTGCCAAGTCTTCATCTCTCTTCAAAAAATCGGAAAAGAAAGCGCTTTCTATTCCAAGAGAACGACAAACTTGCTCTATTCCAGCAGCTGGAGAATCAGCAGACTTTGATTCGAAAGAAAAACTGGCTCGGTATTTGTGAATAGGGGAATGCCTACAATTTCAAGTCAGGTCAAGGAAACAACGTAATATGCACTAATTTATATAGGAAATCCTTTGGATATTTCAAAAATAGAGAAAAGCTCTCTTGACTCACTACTCCTTCTAAAATTGCCGATCCCGTCTCTCCATTTTCCCTGGCTTCTTGATAAAGAAGTAAGATCTTTTCAAAGGGAAAGTAGAATTCGTTTGCAGATTGATCAAGCATTTTCTAATACAGCGAATACTTGTAGTATGAAATGGAAAAGAAGGATTGGCATTTTTAGTTATCCTATACATAGCATGAATGAGGTAAAAATGGAATGGAGATATGTGTAATTCGTCTATTCTTTGAAAATGCAAATAAGAAGAAGTGGAATGTTTGCGTGGCTTGTTACAATCAATAGACAACAGAGACATACCATGTCGCCTAAAAGTGGGAATTCACGTATCCAAGATAGAGTCTTGATGAAAATGAAAATAGGTAGTGGGAAATAGAATGAATTATACCTTCTTCGGTCACATCGATAGATTCTCTTTCCAAACTGACAGAATATAGTTTTCTATAACATTCTACAATTTCTCAAAACTAATATTCGTTCAAACAAACAAACATATATACAACAATCTACCTCCCTTATTCATGGAAATACAGTAATACTCTCTACCTTTTCACATCATAATTATCAATTTGCTCATATTCTGTATTATTTTGAATTATGTCCAACTCAAAACCGCAGGAGGTGGTGCTGCAGTGCGATGCAGAATATAAAACGGTAAAGTAGCTGACTTCACTTAAGGCTAGGCTAGTGTGTTTAATAAATGGGATCGTTGCGTCTTACTCCTGAGTAAGCGCTATTTAGAATTGCGTACACAAGATTACACTCGTTGCATTAAGCACATTCCCATTCCCGAGATTGTGAACGTATCGGAACATCAGGAGAGCAAGAGCTGCGCGTTTTGCTTAAAGATCACGGTATACATAGGAGCCGATGGTAATCGTCCTAGCTTACCTCTCTACAGTTTATTCTAAATTTAATGGATGGGCACAACTGGAAGATGTTTGAGTCGTTTCTATTAGAGATTATGAAGACTTCTGCTTTAGTTCGGAATAATATGCAAGACATGATATTTGCCCAAGCAAACATGGACGTATGGTGTGAAATGGCTGTTCTATTTAGGAAGATTGTGTCGATCCAGCCTTTATGAACATTTTGACTAATTTGAATGAATGTAGAGATCCTAGCAAGCTGAAGCATTTGCTTGGAACGATTAGTACCTATCTGAACGATACGGACCCCTCAATTCTTGCTCTCCAAAAGCCATAGTGAATCGAACGTTATTGCTTGTGACTGTAGTTATCTTAATTTTGTGGAATGCCTTCAGTATCTGTCCGAGGACTTGGTAACGCCGGAATTGATGCGATACGCCTCGGATTTGATTCGATTATTTGATGACAATGTGAGCGAGCCCATCGTCGCCTCCGAGTTGCATCCCACGTTCGTGGATCTAAACAAAATGGTGCGCGTGAACAGAGTCATTGGCCGAGGTAGGGAAGCGGAGCGGCTCCCATGCAGGGAAATACGGGATCGTGTACGAGGCTACCATGATGGACTCGAGCAACAAGCGTGTGGCTCTGAAACGAATCGAAAAGCGAACTGTGACGCAGCAGGACGTGAAGAACGTGATGGTGGTGAAGGGAGGGTTCTGTGAGGTGTAGCGCGAAGCCGCCATTCTGTATCGTCTTCGCCGCCATCCCCACATCGTGGGACTTCAGCATTTCTGGGAGGATAACGCGAACTTCTTCTTGGTTCAAGACTTAATGCTCGGCGGCGAGCTTTTCCACGCGATCATCAACGCCCATTCCTTCAGCGAGGCGCAGGCGCAGCGTTGCGTGATGACTTTGCTTTACACGCTCCACTATTGCCACCAGCGAGGAATCGTCCATCGCGATTTGAAGCCCGAGAACTTGCTGCTGGCCGAGCAGAATAATCTGGACTCGATCCGCATTGCCGACTTTGGTCTGGCGAACGAGATTACGATCGCCAACACGCTGAAGTCCTACTGCGGCACTCCGGGCTACATGGCTCCGGAAGTGCTGACCAACCAGGCGTACGGCCCCGCGGTAGACATGTGGTCGCTGGGCGTCATAGCCTTTATCTTGTACCGCTGGGAGGGAGGCTTGAAGTGTGTAGGCTGTGCGGCTATCACCCGTTCCCGCAGGGCGACGACAAGCGGATGTACTACAACATCACGCATGGCGTGTTCAACTTTGACCAGGACGCCTGGGCGGACAAGAGCGAGGACGCGAAGGACTTTATCTCGCGGCTGTTGACCGTGGACCCGAAGAAGAGAATGACGGCTCCCGAGGCGATCAACCATCGCTGGATGATGTTCGCCTCGAAGTCTACGATGAACATGAATCGCGCCGTGCAGGAGTTGGAGCGGTATAACATCTGGACCAAGGCGAACGCGACCGGTAGGGGAAGGAGGGAGGAGCTCTGAGCCGCAGATCCTCGCCAGGCTGCGCAGACGGGCATTCAAGTGGTGAATTACATCGCGCTGGCGGATTGCCGTAGGCGTGGAGCGGCGGATATGAGCGATAGTCGTGTATATGAACCCGACGACGTTGCAGCAGCCCCTGTTTTCTCTGCCTCGCCAGACGATTCTGGGTTGTGACAATATGATCAATGCTGCGGACGGTGTGTGGATCCATGTCTACAGCGAGAACCAGCGGATGGTTTCCCCGAAGGATGCGAAAGGAAGTAGTGGCGGGAGGAAGAGTCGAGCGTAGAGTGGGTTCTGGCGGGACGACTGAATGACAACCCCATCTGTGTGCCTGTTGGGGCCTCAGTTTTTATGAGTCGGTTTAAGAAGGGCAAGGCGTACCATCTGGTGAAGAAGAGCCCGGCATGTCAAGAGACCCAGAAGGAGCAGATTCCTGGGGGATTTGCTGTGATTGCGGACCGCGTGCTGACGAATAGTGAAGGAACTTGGCTGGAGCTGAATCGGCAGACCTTGTATCAGTTTAAGGTCACGTTAAGTCCTCCGATCTATGTGTGCGCCATATTAGGTGGGCAGAGCACATTGTTTGATAAAATATATGGTGATATGTGTATTGTTTGTTGGAGACTCGTATTGAAAGTGGGAGGTGAAGGAGGTGGATCCAAAGGAAGTTCAGCTGCCGTCACCTATGAGGTACCAGGAAGAATTGAGAGTGGTTGAAAGTATAAATAATCGATCAACGATTTTACAAAGAGAGAGAGTGTATATGTGAAGAGTAAAGAAGGCACATATTGTCATAGGTAATCAGGGAATCTTAGAGCAGCGTTGGAATGCAAAAAAGAAAAAAGAAATAATTAGTAGTATTTAATCATCGCAGTGAAAGAGTTCACGCGCTATGCATGCCGATTGCACTCTATAGCATTTGATGGGTAAACTCCATTATCGATAGACGCAAGAAGGATGAATGCAGCAAAAAAAACAAATCATAAACAATACAAAGCAAAAAGAAATCACAAATCATAAACAATACAAAGCAAAAAGAAATCACAAATCATAATAAATGCAAGGCAAAAATGGAGGAGAGGGGCATCGATCCCCTTACCTCTCGCATGCTAAGCGAGCGCTCTACCATCTGAGCTACACCCCCTCGAAACTCTACTCTACTAGAGACCTATTTCAAAAAATTGAGGAAATGAGGTTTTCAGAAACTATCTGTCATCATGCTGTATGGAAAAACGATTGAGTATAACATCGTCATGGATTTAACTCTGTAGAACCGAAATGGTGAAATTCGAGCCCGAGGCAATGCGAGCTTTAGTCAAGTATAAACTGCTAAAAAAGCAGATTGCGCAATGTATTGATCGCCGTGAGAAGCCGCACATTCCAGATCGTGAGATTACTCCACCGACCGAGGAAGAGATCAAGGCCAATGTGACAGCAATGCAAACGTCGGCTCTGTGAATGCTGAATGATATTTAGATTTATTGAGATTTTAATCGATGATGTGGTAGCTGCGAATCAGTATTATAACAAGAAATTTGAATCCATTAAACAGGAGTATGAGAAATTAAACACTTTAGTTCAAGCGGACTTTAAAAAGGTAGATAGAGAATAGTGGTGTGTAATATCACAGAGACGAGGTTTATTTCACAGTCGGAAATGGGACCCTATGCTCTCATCAAAGATTAGTGAGCTTTTGGGTGAAATGCTACTTTTGCAGTATTTCAGCTCCACGAATTATACAGGTATTCGAAAAGTATGCATGGCTGGAGAGTGCGATCTGTTCTAGATCATTAAGAAGTTTCATAAGGTGACAAAGAGTTCAGCCGTGGACAGCATGATGACAATTCTGTCGAGCTCTCCTTCAAACGATGTGAGAACACAGAACGACTTTATTTCGGACATAATCAAACTCTATTATATCCGAAAGCTTTTTGAAAATAGACGTAAGAGTGAGCGGTTGTGTAGACCGAGCACTGCCATGAACTATTCTGAGTTGGAAAAGGAGTCGGAACTCTTGCTCAGGTCCGCAGATGTGATAACGTTGCGTGAACAGAGCATGCAGACGATCATTGAGCGAAATATCGGTTTTTGTTTCCAGTGAGATGAAATGATATCGTAGCGGCTCCTGGCAAAGACGCTTTGCGAGACATGGTATTCCGAGGGAATCGAATTCTCCGCAGTGAGTTGTCGGGTATTTTTTGCGAAATAGGTCGAATGCCGAAGCGATTGAAGCCGGAAGAGTCAAACGGTGATGTCAAGGAAGAAACGTTTGCCGACAGCATGCAGATTCAAATGGCCTTCTACGCAATCCCTGCTCAACTTTATCAGAATACAGATGGCGAATTGCTCGATAGTAGCGAGCTGATTCTTTGGGAGGGAAATCTTATGCGACGTGTAGTGGACGGAAGGAGCGAGTGAGACGTAGTTTTCAGCACTGAACCAGTGGAAGCAACGGTATATTATCCTGAGCAACAAGCGGATTTGCTTTTTCCGGACGAAATTTGGGGCATTGAAAAAGACGGTGGTGCTGTGCAGCATAATCTCATTGTTCAATGGCCAGTCCTACCGATATCCTCGCTGTCTGATAATCAATACTGTTTGGGGCATCGATTACCTGTTCTTACGCGTAGGGAGATAATGGAACCATTTGGCTGGCCGAGTCTTCTGGAAATTCAGAGCAATTCAGCCAATTCTTATCGACCCTGAGCGAGTTGTATTCTCATTTGCTTCTGCACTTTTGGAAAACCGATCACTCTGCCACACGGGACTCTCCAGAACAGGCCAATACAAATAGTGTTTCCTTGCGAACATTGTCTCGTTCCACCTATGCTTCTATAACGAACTTGTTCCAGATCACTCCTTCGAACACGGTGAAAGACAATGATCCATCGTCCTCCATCAAGATGTCGATTCCTGAAGGTGAGACCCCGAAATTACCAGAAAACATGTCGAAAGTGCTGGTAACCCCTCTCGAAGAACGAGCCATGCAGCGTCGTGCCTTATCGCAAGAGATATCCAGCGCATTTTATGGAAGCGAGACAGTCACGGATGTTTGGCTGGCTCTTCAAAAGTTTGATCGGTTCGTAAATGGCGAGTCCACTCCTGCGAAAGATGACTTCTCCGAAGAGAGAGATCAGACCACTCGTATTCGCGAGATTAGCCGGTATCTCTCTGCGGATGATTCTCTATGCATAGAATTACGGAGTGCATTCAAGAATGCCAGGCGGAAAATGCAAAGATATGGCAGCCGTGGCTCTGCTTCTTGGCGATCAGCATTCTCAAATGGTCTTTTCCGGAGATCGCCTCCATGCTGCAGGGGAAAAAAGAGTATCATGAAGAAGACATTCAGCCCTCGGAATTGAATATCAACAAGCTCTTTCGTTACGAACGACAGATTGGAGAAGGGCACTACTCGTCTGTCTGGATCGTCGAGAACAAGAAGGACCATATCTTCTATGCGCTCAAGAAAGTCGACGTTTGGAATTTATCCAAATATGAGAAGTTAGCGCTCTCTGTGGGTGCAAGCATTTGGAATCACTTTGTAGAGAGAAGTCCGAAGTATGATGTTGCTTCGCGGCCATCCCAACGTTGTGAAGTTTTACGGGTTTTTTGCGGACGATACATACACATACATTGTGATGGTGGATTGAGATGCCTCGGGTTTATTCAATAGGAATTGGAGCCAGGCGGTCGGCTATTCGATTATATCAAAAATCGTCAGCAATTTACAGAGAATGATGCCAAGTTGATTGTGCAATGTGTGCTCTCTGCCATTGAATACTGCCACGAGAATGGAATTGTGCATCGTGACTTGAAGCCCCAAAACATTTTGCTGACCAAGTAAATCGCTCGAACTTTCCTCTCATGGTTCAAGATCGGATGATTTAACTTCGCTGAAACTTACAGATTTTGGCTTCTCTGCTTCAGTATCTTCAGGGTTATTAAAGACATCGCTCGGAACTCCGGGATATACGGCCCCTGAGGTGCTTCGAAACCAACTCTATGATGCGAGTGTGGACTTATGGAGTTTGGGCGTGATTACTTACATTCTGTGAATCCGTTCGCTGCTTCTCATGAAGTAGACTGTGCGGATATCCGCCATTTCCCTCGAATAATGACGCGGAGCGATTACGAGCGATCACGACAGGAAGATATCAGTTTTATCCGAATGAGTGGGATTCGGTAAGTGACGAAGCAAAGGATTTCATTCGCCACTTGATCGTCGTAGACCCAGCTCAGCGTATGTCGGCGTCCCAAGTACTTTTAAAGAGTTTCACTAGGTGATGTGCATAGTGTTTCGCCCATCCTTGGCTGGTCAACGCGAATACGTCCACTGTGAATCTTCCTGGAGTCATTTCGGGAATTCAAAACATTCAGAGCTGTATTCGTTCGAAAGCAAATTCTATCAAATAGACACACTGCAAGTCGCTTCGAAGCCTGTGCATAGCGGAATTCGAACTCATTTCTGTCGAACTTTGATGGATATCAGTACGCAAAGGAGTGGATCGTGAAGAATAGAAGTGTATGCTTCGTGCGACGAGTCATCTTCTGTGATAGCGACGATATCGAAAGGTTTGCGCTTTGAAGAAGAAAAAATAACATGTAGATAGCCCACTGGAAGTGGATCGAGACGTGTGGAATAACGGGAACCAGTATGGTTATTTGACTGATTATTGTTGTGATTATTACAACATTCGAAAAGGAGGATGCGTCTTAATTCAAAGCAAAACGCAAATGTTCTGTGTCCATGCCTTAACATATGTTTACCGAAAGATTGCAGAAAGAATGATATTATTGCGTTATCTTCATATGTAGAGACGCCTTTAATATTCGCTACACCACTCAACACGACAGAGATTGTGGGGAAATTTACCCAAAGTTACTTGGTGTGTGATACTCTTTTGTGTATCAATAACGTTCGTTGGGCAATTTTGCACCACATGATGTATACTCCCCTGGAATTATCGGGAATTCCCCAAGCTTGGGTGATTTTGGAAGACGAGAATGCGAAGTATTTTGAAGAGATACGCGTGAGCAATGAGTTCGAAAAGAGACTTACAGAGTTTCGAACGGGAAAGAAGGAAAGAGAAGTGGAATGTGAGTAGAATGTTTGTTCAAATAAGAAGAAACCGAGAGTGGCCAGAGAAGACACACAATACGTCATGCAAGCACTACATAATGCAGTGTTTTTAAAAGATAGGCTCAAAACGGCTCTATTTGTTTTTTAAGTGATAGGTTTTTTTACAATAAGTCTTTAGTCCTGAATATTTAGTAATCACAGTATTAACGGGCGAAATAATATTTAGAATTACAATCATACCTCGGTTCAACAACCTTAGGGAGTCATGATATTGTTTGGTTATATTTTGTATATACTACTTTACTACTCATTATTTGTATATACATATCATAGTTCTGAAGAGAATTATCGAATGTACACTACAAATGAAAAATTAAAACTTCAATCGTTAACTCTCTGTAAAAGAATTAAAGGCGAAACATATATGGCTTCAAGTTCAGCTAAACCAAATCATTCCATTCCGATCTCTTCCATACCACCCAGGATGGATACATACATGAGAACTGCCTATAATATTACAGGAGATAACGAAAAGTATGAACTTCTAATGAATGTTATTCCTTCTTCAATATTATTTGACATTCATGTGAATTTTCAACTTGATTCAATATACGTGGTAATATCCAAGCGTATTCCTGAAGAAGATCTGTGGTATAAGGCTGCATTCACTTATCAGCGAGAGGCCTGGTTTGATTAGGGTTGAATCTTTATCATAGGGAGCAGCCCTTTGCAGAATTGTTGAAAAAAGTCAGAGATGTGTATAACAAATCGTAGTTACAAGAATGGCGTTTACTGGTAGAGAGAATAATCGAGCCCTATCGAATTCCCAATTTCGACAAGACAAGTATTCTACTGCCACAATTCGCTTTGTTAACAAAACAGACAGTCCTTTTTTGGATGCTCATAATATATGTATGGACAAATCGTTCATTTGGAAAGTATATCTTGAGTCAGGGTCAATAGACATTCACTATCCAGACAAACAAAGTATCGAGCTCTGAAAAACGAGGTGATACACTAGGTTTTCGATATAGTCACAAGATAGAATCTGTCAACAAAGAGTTTCCTAGAAAAGGAAATTGGATCGAAGACGGTCACTATTACGTTATTCAGCCTTTTAAAACACGTCATATAGGTCATTTCGCAGAATCCATAAATCACCTTTTGCTCAAGCTCCGATATCCTTCTTTCTATCCTCCTATCACTGATATATATCTTCCCATGTTTTCTGAAAAAGAATTTGAATGGTCAAAAATATATCTGCAGTTGGTATTGAGCTTATTTCCACAGAATCTCAGACCTTCTGTTCATTTAGCGAACAGTATTTCAACATCTCGTTCCGTCTGCTTCCGATCGGCTGTAACTCAATCATTTGAGTAACAACATTAGATATTGGTAGATCGCGTTCGATTCCACATGGATGGAGCCTTGTTTGCTGGCTATTTCCCTCATGATTTTGTGAGAGCAACTGCGTGGCGGTTCGCTAATGTTAAATCAAGACACAACGAACCACGTCAGATCTCTTTACTGTTAGTGGATCGCAAGAAAAAGCGAGGTTTTACAAGGCGTAAAGCGTGGGTTGGCATTATTCGTTCGCATTTTAAAGTAAGGCGAAGTGTCAATATTGATTGGTAGGAACTTGCAGTTTCTTATACACTAATGGATGGATTATCGTTTAAGGACCAATTGCAACTCTTCTATGAAGCGGATATTGTGGTTTCTCCGCATAGCGCCAGCTTTATTAATCTCATTTTTTCGGTTCCTCATACAGCGGTAGTTGAGTGTTATCCACCTTACTTCTATGAACCGTGGTACTCAAACACTGTGATGATTTCCCGTTTGCATTACATCATGGTTTCCAGCTTTGAAGAAAAAAACAAGGCGAAGAGAGTTTGGAAGGGGGTAGAGAGGGCCTATGAGAATGGGATGTTCTTTTTGATTCGAAGACATTATTCTGATAATAAAGTGAATCCTCCTCGATTCAAAATGCTTTCTGCGATACGGGATGCGATGGAGTATTCGAAGCGGTGGAGATTTGTTTATGAAGTGAATGACAAGTGGTCTCCAATATTTATTTAATGCGGACTCAATATTATTTTGTGAGCGTGTGAAGGGTTTAAACAAATTACTTGTTTGACAAAACAAATAAGAGTCAAGAAAAGAATTAGTAATACAATCTATGTACAATACTCGTTAGGTATCAGGACTATATTAGTCCTGATTTGTGTCATATTCATATTTTATACCATAATACTCAAGAGATCAGAGGAATTCAAAATAGAATATATAAAATTATATAATATAAATAATAGGACTTTTCAATAATGTGAGATCGTTATTCCTAGAATGACAACGATTTCCGATATAACAAAAAATGTATAACGCATAATTGTCATTCATTCCATGGTGAGATAATTATAGTTATGGTCCACTTTTCAATTCAAACTCTCAAGCATAATTACTATAACTCTGGTAACCCACTAAAATAGATTCCCATGATTCACAATTTAATATGATAAATGATTTCGATTTATCATTGCAATAACTATCTCTTATCAGAGGAAATGTATTTTCGAAAAATTCAATTATAATTACTCAATCAGAAAGTAGTATACATTTCGAATCGATTATATCTTCAATGCGACACATTGATATTCATGATCAAAAAGACTATTCTTACTCGCAACTTCCGGTTCAAAGTGTTTTGTCACAAAGCTCATCTAATTTAAACTGTTACAAATAAAACCATACAGAACTAATCTAAACTGTAACACTGTACAAATAAATAGTCATCGCAAGGATACTTGTAATGGTGAAATGAATTTCATTATAAAAACGCATAATCCTTATATAACAGAAATACCTCCAGATAACAGTATGAGCGATAATATTGGTATGCCTTTCACCATTCTTTATCACAATCTAATTTATTGTAGTAAATACATGCTGTTCCTAATCCATGTCGTTTTCCATTCAAAAACACCTTAATAACTCAAATTCTTGCTTTCCATATCATATTCCTTTTCATAGATTCGATAATTTCCTTTCTCTATTGAGCCACTATATAATCCTTCATATTATTTCCATTATCTCTGTATTCTATCATCATACCATTTTCAAATCGATAAACAATCGCTTTTTCTTCATTGTTTTCCCAAATACTATTATTATGTCGTAGTAGTTGGTCGATGGAACTGGAGTATACAATTGATCACACACATCTTCAATAGTCAATTGGAGTTCGAATTCACCATTCATATTTATGATATTACTATTCATATCCTTGATCACAAACATCAATCGATCAAATCGGTGAATGATCGGTATACATATTTCTTTTACAGTATTGATATCATTGATTTCAGAATCATCAATGATCATTGTGGTGAGTGAATTGTTGTTCTGATTAGCGATTTCAAATCAGATGATCGTACCAACGATGAATACACTTGAATCACTTCACAATTTCGAGTGATATCAATCACATTCGATCCATAGAACGAAGCAAGGAATACAGTCATATGATTTCCTAACCCAAATATCTCTAGTACATCTGGAGCAATCGTGGAATCGATAGAGTATGGAGAGTGGATCCAAATACACTCATAACTTGTATCCATTGTGGAAATTGAGAATGTAGTATTAATCATGGTGTTCAGAATGGCAATGATTTCACTCAGTGTATAATAACCAGGCGAGATCGTTATCTCTTCACCATTGATGTTTGTCACCACATTGATTGAGCCCACAGTATTGAACATGACTTGATTGGGTTTGGATAGAACAGTCATGGAAGTGATAAATGGATTTCTGAACTTGAAAGGATTGATTGAATCGAATAAACCATTGATAGGTGAATCTTGTATGAGAATGGAATAATGCATGTTCTCTCTTTACCAAAGACACTTATGACCTGCATAGACAACAATAGATGGATTTGTGATGACAATGTACACATATTGGGTTTCGGTCATTACAAATAAGCAAACAAACATGTAAATACGAGAGAAATAACAATAATTCACATTAGCTAGGTATGTCTACTGCTTTCTCGCATCCAAGTATAACTGATGTAACAAACAAAAAAATAGAAACGAGCACTAGGTTGATAGTAGATAGGAATTGGTGTAAGAAAGCACGAAACCTGGTTCCTGACCGATGATTGTCGACCAGACAGCCTAGGAACGATAGTCGAGGACTCAGAATCGGTTGGTTAATTACAACGACAGACAAAGGATCGCAATTGTGGTCATGGAGCAAAATAGCATATAAAGAAAACTGCCACCGGTTTCACGCAAATAGTGACATTTTCTTACTACTATTGTTCCATATTAATGGTGTTTAAGATGGCTACAAGTTGATAAATCATATTATTATTGATCGAAAGAGCTTCTGTTATTATGAAAATAGGATCATTTTGTTATGTGACATGTATCAAATATGGATGAACTCATCAATAGAAATAGGAAGGATGAATCAGTCATTTACCACAAGTATTGTTGTATTTCCTTGATATATGACTAATCTGTATAATATAGTCTCGAGATACTTTGAATCAATACTTGGAAAATGAATATCTGCAATAGAATAACAACAAATGTGTATTGTTTCATTTTGGTGCATATTGTGTGATATGAATTGTATCAAAGCCCATAATGAATTCACATTCTAAATGTGACAACTAATAATGTTGTTAGTTCGTGTTATAAGCTGAGAGAAGGAATAAGCAGTATTAACAAACAAGAGTCTTCACAATAGTTATTCTCAATAGTATTGATTGTGAATAGTTGATGTTTTGTCATCATCATCATCATCATTATCATTATTATTCTGTATGGGAAGATAGAATAATGTGTATTTGTGATTGATTGTATATTTTGGCTTATTAGTATATTCCATGGAATAGAATACTGTGAAAATAAGATAGGTAAGTGTAGAATAATCAGAAATGGCCAATATGAATGAAAACAACAACAATACTAGAATGTAATAGAATAGTAGAAAATAACATATGTATGAAGTAGCAATGGAAATGAAGTCATTTTCACAAATTATGACGAACAATAGCTGAAATGATGATATTTCACAGGGATCTGTTTTAGCACATCCTGATACGAATTACATAGATCATGCATAGTTTTGCTTCTAAACAATCAAAATCCAAACAAACACGATTCTGTCATTTCATTGGTTTAACACAATGTTTGATTCTGTTAAATCCATTTTCATAAAATAACTAATTCTGAGTAGCAGGAACAATACTGTTGATACTTAGTACTGGAATAACCAATCGATGAATGAATGATTGGAGTTTGTAGTAAATTCCGTTATTGTTAGTTGGAATGCACAATGATTGGTATATAGTGGTTGGAACTGAATGATTCCTAGATATTATCACAGATTGTATGCTATATGTGAATAGAATAGTACTAGAATGATTTGTGTAATTGGTCACAATCTATTGAATGAATATGAGTTGGATGTACAAAGATTGCATAGCATGGAGATGGTTTGTACCATGAATGGATGAAAGAAGAAAAGAAGAAATAGTATTCATTGCTTAAGATCTTAATCCATTCAATTATATGTATTAGTTAGTTATTAATGTAATACGTGATAATGATAATGAAGAGTGAATGAGAGAGAATCGAAATGAATGGGAATGTGATTGGTTGTGATATTGGAGTTGGATTCGATTCGATTTCAGCAATTCAACACTAAAATGAAAACAAACAAACAAATGAATGAATGAATGAATGAATGAATGAATGAATGAATGAATGAATGAATGAATGAATGAATGATATCTTATCTAAGAATTGATTGACAATCTCAAGACACTACTCACAACCAATGATCTGTAAATCAGTAACAAGGATGTTATTCATTCATTCACATTCATTCAATCCATTCTATTCTATATTCATTCATATAATCATATTTGATTCACTTTGGTTTGGATGGCTGATTGAATGATTGAATCAACCAACAAATCATTGAATGAATGAACGAAAGATTCTCTCTCTGTGGGGTGATTTACAAAACAACAAAGACCTTTATCACAACCAATGAACTGTAATTCTACATCAATAATGTCATCGATTCAATCATTCATTCAATCATTTGTTCATGCTTTTAGAACTGTTTAACGCATGATTGATTGATTGATTGAAAGAAACAACAATCATAATTCAGTATCATTGTTAAAATGGTGAAGAAGAACATCATAATATTTAGACAAGATTGATATTTTGATAATTATAGAATCATGAATTGTGATCAAGAATCGGTTTCAAACAAACAAACAATCAATCAATCAATGGAAATGTTCCTAAACAATGACGAATCACTGAACTAATCAAATCAAATCAAAATTATAGATTTAATACTTGATTTAGTGAACAAGATCAGCGAGAATGGAAGAAACATCTATGAATCAAATCAAATCAATCAAACTATACTCGAAATTGATTTCGATCGAACATGTAGGAATGAACCAAGTAGATAGACATTTCGAAGATTTGGAATATCTAAATACTATCAATATTCAATATTCAGAAATACTTGCCAATGTCACTACACGAGGATAAAAAAAACTAAATCCTACAGAAGTTATTGATGTTAGATTTGGAAGATCTACAAAACAAATCATAACCAATCAATTCATTATTACTTCGAAGTCTCAATGAACATGAATCATCCCATCTTCCTTGAAGTGCAGATTCACCGAGTTGAATGGATTGTAATGATAGAAGATCTACATCAATCATTTCATTCGAATTCATTCAATACTTTCAATTATTGCTGATAAAAAATAAAAGAATGCACGATCACCTAATGTAATGGATTGTAGATTTGGAAGATCTAGGCATCATTCAAATATTCAATATCATATCAATACCTTCAATGACTAGTGAACTACAATAGAAATTGTATGAATCAATTCCAATTGTCCCAATTTGAATGGATTGTAATTGTGGTAGATTCTTCAATTCAAAGTCTCCAGCAAAATCACTGAAACTGTATTCACCAATTTGAATGGATTCCAATGATTCACAATTCAATATAAGGAATGATTT